GGTAGCTATCTACAGGGATACCCACAAAGTACGAGACTTCAAATTAACGAAATGGAGGTTTTTGAAAATTAACGGAATAGTCCGTTAATGAATGGCAAAAACCGTTAATTTTTAAATCGTTAACGAACAACAGGATTAGCTGTTTTTGAGGAAAAAAAATTACAGTTAAAAATTAAAACAAAATTGTTTATTTAAACATGTAAAAAAAATTATACATGTTTTGATGTTTTTAAATGTCGGCTTTTCTGTGTTCACAGCCGTTATCAAAAAATTCTGTCATGGTTAAGGTAGCTTTATATATAAATTGCGTAATAGCGCATTCTATTAAAAAATGTTCAAATCAAATAATTTCTTGAATTCAAATATTATTTCTCAACTTTTTCTAACGTTCTTGTTAACATACCCTTTATCCTCAGTAACGTTTACAGGTCCTTTTCCAGTACTAAAGAAGCATTCTTGCGTATGCTTGTTTTGTGTAATGTACTCACAGCCTTCTAGCTCCTTACAATACTCAATACAATCCGGTTTACTTCCAATAAGTGATCCACTCTCTGAAAAATTTATCGCTAGTCAAATTTTCACAAGGCATAGACAAATCACGATCGTAAGGATTCAGGGTCAATTTATTATTTTTATTATTATTCATACAAGAAAGCATATAAAAGCCATGAGCCTATTTATGCAATAATTGCAGTGGAGAAAAAATTAGACTTAAATGAATCTTACAATGAAAAATAATTTTTCAAAAATAATCTAGATTCAAAAAATTTGTCTAAGAAAGGTTTCACTTAAACGATAATTATAACAAATCAAATTCACTTCAGAATGGGTTCTCTTAATAGCTTTCTTCCTTTAAAAGTTTGATTTTGAAATTCACACTGTATAGTGCATAGATGGGAAGCTCATGGGGGTCAGGGGTTTCCTCCCTAAAAAACAAGACAATTGAGAGACAACTTACAGATCTTTAAGCGGTACTTACTTTAAACAACGATTATTTGGCCGCTAGGTGAGATACCTAGCGGCCAAAAAATCGTCCTCTTCAGTTAGCAAATTTTGATTGCAACATTTGAATGCCTAATTTGAAATTAAATTTAATTTTTTCAATCTGAGTGGAATAATGCAGCTCTGTGAAGTGAAATGAACGTTTTTAACCATTTTCTCCTTAAAAGTAAAATAAGTAGCGATCGATATTAAAGTTTATATCAAACCCCTTTCATTTTTTTGCGAACTCTCCCATTAACGGACTTTAGACGTAATTAAAAATGACTCTTCCTGTTTAGTGGGGTAAAACCCTTTTCTGATTATGTATAAATGAGATTGTTTATTTAGTCAAACCGTTTTTATTTTTAGTATTAGGCTTTCCATTAAACTTCCATTAAAGCAAACTGTCAGAAATTAACACTTTTTAACAATGAAAAACACATTTATTGTCTTCATTGTTAGTTGTTACTTAGATTAAGGTGTATTAAGGACATAAGTATAAATAGGACATTCAATGATACAATTATTTGAATGGTTACTTGAAATTATGTCTAGAGTCCTTTCTTACCAAGATCAATTTGATTTCCATACATTTTAAGATTATCTGCCTCGCAAACACAAGATCCTTTCCAGGAAAACTGAACATCTGGAGGATTTTAGATTTCATTAAAAACTTAAAATTTACTGCCTTGTCAGAAATGCAAATGATCATACAGTACAGTGTTCTCCAAAATAATGTCGAATACAACGACAAATTTAATTGCTATTTTCTACCAGTTTTAAAATTACTTATGGTAAAGGGTACTTTGTACGATATCTTACAGGGATCGAATGTCGTAAATGTATTCCACTTAATTTTGGTGACCATTGTAGAATAAAAATCCCGCACTTACATACATTTTTCACCGTCTTCGGCACAATTAAGCGGCAGCCCAGTTGCTTGCACAATAAAGACAAAGATAATAATCATTTTCAAGTTCATAACATCAGAAGTCTAAAAAAGAATGTTAATTTTTCAATCCATTCTTATTATTGAAAATGTTGTAAACTTATTTAACATAGGAAGACGACTGTTTGACTCAAGTGATGAATTTAATAAAATTAGCATTAAACCCGTACATGAATAGTACACTGTACAGTGTTCCACAGGCCCATCTCACTATATGAGTTAGTTTTCAAGCTTGTGTTTCAACGCTAAATACATAAAAAACTGATAAAATGTCGTATTCCTATTACAGTTTATGAGTCTTGCTATATGGGGGAACTGAGAGCTAAAAATTATGATTTTTAAACCACCAAATGTTGTAAAATTGCGNCCCCCCCCCCCACGTTAGTTCTGTGTACACCCCTATTTCCAGACATTATTTCGTTCGAATTATACACTTTACTTTTTGTTATACCACTACAATTTAGAATACAGTGGTAGAACTTAATATCGATACAATGAAGACGACTTTTCAATTTTCAATTTCAAGCTTTTTGCAAATTGCATGTACAAGTAAACAACAAGAAGCTGTTAATTGGCAGCTTCTCGTTAGTTCCATGTTTATGTGTATCTATGATGTTTAAAAGCTTTTTAGAAATAAAAATTGTAATCACAAGTCGTCTTCATTGTATTGATATATACTAAGTGGACCGGATATCACAGTGTTCACATTAGACCCAAAGTGTGAACTATAAATCAGGTATTTTTATCCATTTAATATTTTTAACGAGGTTTTCTACGTTTATATTTTGGTTAAATTTAAGTCAATTCTCCTTAATTTTCAAGTTAATTTCATTTTTTCATGATTTCTGAACTTTGCATTTTGGCCACATATGTCAATCAATAACTACAATAAATTTTCACAAATGCAAATGCATTTGACTTTGGGACACTATGTGTACAAAGAATGATACTTTAGTAGCGGTTGTACGGGGTTTATATTGTCTGTTCCCTATTATGCAATATTCTCTGAAACTGTAAACCTATTTCTGTATTTCCAAAATTTTATGTAAACCATGATTCAAAACAGAAGACAAAATTAACCTTGGGATCGTCTTATTTTATGATTTTTAAGTCGTCTTTACAGTCTCATCCTTTGTGGGTTACCCTGTATTTGCACTTGCGAGAAATTATTTATCATTGATATAAGATACAGATTAATCACAAAATATGGGACTTAATGAACAATCTTTAATATTGACGATTTCAAGGCATTAAGTCCTTGACACAAACTCTGCTTTTCTAATCTTTGCAAACCCATTGTCGTATAATATTAGATAAAATAATCTGATTTTGAAATATCAAGGGTTTACACCATTAGGTTGCCAGATATAGGGATTAGCAAATTTGAGTTTCTGGACCTTGGTTCTCGACCTTGAAAAGGTTTGAACGACTGATAAAATTTCTAAAATCCTTTAAAAAATCTCGATCATATTTTGTAGGTTACCTTGCAGATATTAAAAATTATTAGGTTTAAACTATAAAAATATGTTTTGCGTATTTTTTCGATATTTTACTGATTTTCAACTATACACGTCTCCTCCTATCCTTTACTTCCAGCCTACTGAGAGTGAGTGCAAAAATGTTCAGTGTTTTAGCGGATACATATAGCGGGGGAGCGCGCTGCACTTTGCAACTGCAGTTCAAGCAAATCCTGGTGATATCATCGCCCGCGGTTAAACTGCAGCTGCTGCCTGCAACACTGGAGGTGCGCTGCTGCAGTTGCATTATTGCATAATATCCAGGTGTTGAAGGACAACACAAAGCCTTTATCTTGTATTTAATGGGAATATTCAGAGAAAATTATCCCCGCACGTTAAACTAAAGTAAATTTCGCGTAAGATAAAAATCTGTCATGTTTTTACTTTTAATCATAACTTTTTTCATTGAACAGGGTTTAAAAAGAACAAAAAAGTTTTGTAAATCGTTTGAAAATTTGTTTTTATAATACTTGTTCGTAAAATCAAAACTAGAGGACCTACGAGGTCACAAAGGCGTACCATTGATATAGAACAAATTTGTCATTCTGTTACTGTTCAGTTTGCTGTGGCCGACCGTATACTTTATGACAGACAATAAGAAGTAAATTGTTAAACATATGATTTTGTAATTAAAGGGATAGTAGACATAATTTTTAAAGGGACTGTAAGCGTAATTTCTAGGGACCCTCCTTGCAAAAATAGCAATGCCCCATTTACAAGAGTACCCCCCGTATCTGATCAAATGGAAGAAACCATCGTTATCTGATATAAAAAGTAATCATATCAGATAATTTTCTCCTTGCTTCTTACAAGCAAAAATTCGCAAGTCACTTTCGAAGAGAAACAAGTTTATATATATGTAATTATATTATTGATCAGAAAAAGCTTTTAAAAACTACACGTTGTATTGTAGTACCAGGCGCACATTCTATTATTCTGTAGATAGTATTACTTACTGGTTTTATCTTTTACATAAGTTTAAGATGTCTTCAACGTTTTCCGGAACCTTTTCCCGGAAAATTTCGGTACAATTGTTCCGTAAACCGGAATTTTCCGGAATACTATTCCGTAACGTTCCGAAATTTCCGGTTTACGGGAAAAAAACCGTTCCCGAAATCGTTCCGGAATTCTGGATTTCCGGAACCATTTTCATAATGGAAATGGAAAAATTTCCAGATCATTTCCGTACGTAAACCGTAACCCGGAATTCCGGTGGAAACCCCAATTGTAGATCGGAAATTAGCCATCATTGCAAAGAGGGTAACTCGAAATTTCGCTTTCTACACTACAGTCCCTTTCTGTGGCCCTCCATGTATAGGTTTCCATGTCCCATTCACAAGGGTACCGTCGGAACCTTTAACTGATTAACAATCTAGGAAGATATCGTCGATTATCTATCCTACTGAATTCAGACAATATTAATTTTTTCCTATTTGTGCAAAATTCACTTTTACAGAAAACGTGTAACTGAACAAAATCAGTCATTAGAACACTTTAGTTTCATTAGAAGTAAAAATTTCCATTTACTGATAGCGCCGATACAAGCATTTATCTCTAATTGAGAAAGATAGAAAGATAGATGTTACCACAATGCAATTTCTATTGGTTCAGAATAGACACCAAACACATGGCTGAACCCTGATTGGATCAGTCGCTAATGGACTCGGCATACAAGAGTGTTGTGTTATGGTGTGTAGTGCCGTTACAAGAATTTATCTCTAATTGGATAATGAGATAGATAGCAAGATAGATGTTACCGCCATGCAATTTCTGTTGGTTCAGAATACACACCAAACACATGACTGAACCAAGATATGGATCAGATGCTAATGTACTCGGCATACAGGAGTGAGAAAGAAACACAAGGGTATTGTTGTTGTTTATAAATACATTATTTATTTGAATTGCGTCTCCAACCCATTAAATGAATTTTAATTCTCAAATTGAATTTAGAATAAAGTTAAAACAAGAGAATTCAACGTTGTAATTTTAGAATAAAGTTAAAACAAGAGAATTCAACATTGTAATTTTAGAATAAAGTTTAAAAGAAATCTCAGCCTAAGCCCAATAAGTTTAAATTACAACTTGTGTATAAAATAATGGTTATTTTGGTAAGGGTTGATAAATTAATTTTATTATAATTTTGTAAAACATACAAAAAAATCAGACTTGGCACAAATTAAAATTTTGTAATTTATAAATATTATTTGCAAATGGTGTACAAAACTATTTGATTTAATATAATTCATAGTTTTAAATATCTAAAGTCTACGACATTGGGTTGCAAAAATACAGGGATTTTTCTGAGTTTGTGACAAGAGCTCAATTCCATTCAGGCAATTCTTACAGTCATGAAATATATGAATTAATAAAATGTAAAATGTAAGACATGCCCTAATGCGAAGTTTTAAATTGTAAACATGTAAACCTTCGAAATTAATAATTTTATAGCATTTGTGATATTTTGATTTTCATATATTACTATCTCTCACGTCAAACTAAAGTAAATTTAAGGTTAGATTGAAACGGTTATGTTTTCAATCATAACTCCTTTAATTGAAGAATACAATATATGTTTAGAATTTGAATTATTTAACCAAATAAATATTTCTTATACTTGTGTGTAAAATGAAACCTAGAGGAGCTACAAGGTCACAAAGCTGTAAGATGATGTAGAATAAATTTGTTCTCCTCCTGTCTAGTTTGCAGTGCACAGAGTGAAGTGTTAAATGCTGAAAATTTGTATTTTAAATAAAACTGATCTTTGTTATTGTCTACAATAGCACGTTATTCTGACATGTCACTGGCTGCAATAGCACGTTATTCTGACATGTCACTGTCTGCAAAAGCACGTTATTCTGACATGTCACTGTCTACAATAGCACGTTATTCTAACATGTCACTGTCTACAAAAGCACGTTATTCTGACATGTCACTGTCTACAATAGCACGTTATTCTGACATGTCACTGTCTGCAAAAGCATATTCTGACATGTCACTGTCTGCAATAGCACGTTATTCTGACATGTCACTGGCTACAATAGCACGTTATTCTGACATGTCACTGTCTACAATAGCAAGTTATTCTGAAACTCTGTCACTGAAAACTCCGGTTCATTATTAAGTACCGTACCGACTGCTTTTTATAAGAACTTGTACAGAATACGTACAGACTACACTACACCCCACTCTCATAGTTTCGTGATCCTAATCCGGCACAACATTTACTGTATATGCATTAAGTCGTACTGTCCAGTCTGGACTAAGGTTTCCAGCGAAAAGGAAAAATCGTTTCGAGAAAATTTCTCATTTTTCGCGACCATTTCGCTTCATTTTCGCATTTCGTTCGCTCGCGAAAATTTCGCAAAAAATGCGAAAAATTCGCGAAAAATAATGTGAAAATTGAAAAATTCTCTCTTGTAATTGGCTGGCTCATTATCACAGTTGACCGCATGTTTTGTGGACGGACAGACAGAAACTTAAAAAGATAGATAGTGAAATCAAACTTTCCTCGACAAACATTTATAGAAGTAAAGGAATAAAAATTATTTATATGACATACTAAAACTTCAATTATTGAGCTATCAGAGCACATAATTCCACAAGTTCTTTGAGCAATTAATGGTTTTTACAAAAATTTTGCATTTTCCCGAAATTTTCGCTAGAGATATTTGCACTCGACAGAAGAAGAGAAACTTGAACGTTGATCATAATATTTGTGTCCAAACCTGACACTTAGTGTCAGTTTTGGAACAAAAGCACGGTTTGAACTTTCTTCCCCTGAACTATAAAGATGCTCAGTGAATTAATATAAAGATGAGGAAAATGTTGTTGTTGTTTTATGGATTTATAGTCGTTTAGTTTTTATTGTGAACTAAAATATGCTGCTCTCTCAATAATACAATTCTGATTGGTGTTAGGTACTTTCCCATAGGCATTTTCCCAAGGGCGACTTTCAAGCGAAAGTTTCCCAAGCGGCATGTTCCCAAAGGTTAAGAATTAGGCCTTTTGAGGCGCCGCAGGTTGAAATGGGGATGGGGGGTGAGCGCTGCGGAAAGAACAGGCTAGGGGGTCCAAGCGCTGCGGCTAGGACAACGCCGCTTTGAAAAAAACTTTGGGAAAGTATCTTCTGATTCGATACTCTTTAAAGCTTTGTCTGACTACGTATAAATTAGATATTAATGTTTATTGCTTGTTGTTCTACAAAAGCGACATAAGCATTTCTGCTGCAGGATAACAATTTAACAATTATCAAAATTGGACACTTTTAAAGCTAGTAAAACGATCTTTTCTATCGATATTAATAGACAAAATCATGATTTTGAAGTCCAATAAACAGAAAAAAAAACAGCAATTGTAAAGGATCAATAAATTGTACTAAGACCAATTTAAAGTTGAGTTTCTAGCTGTATTGGGAAAAAATTGGTTTAAAACAACAATCAATATCAATAATATTGATTAATGTTATCTTTCCAGTCCATAGTTGTATAGATATATACTATAGCTGGCAAATTATTTATATCTGGTTCTTTGAAAATATTTGATATATAATGTTTTGGAGTAGGAATTAACATTACGATTTTAAGATTGCTATCATGCTGTAAAATATATAAGTAAAATATCATGCTTCTAGGATATATATGCACCGTGCATATTATGCACTTTACAAATACTAACATCAAAAACAGTAAGGTGTCCTTTTGATAACGCAGGATTTTATTCCACTTTGCGACTATAAAGCACCTCCAGTCATTTTTAAATATCTAAAAGTATTTGAGGTTAGTAATTGGAATTCCTCATTGTCTCTGAGCTAAAGTAGGGTACCATTGTGAATCAGATTAGCAACTCTTTGAATACGTCAAGTTACAGTTTCTTTAAGATGAAAAATCATTAACAACAGCATATGATAATAATATAAGTTTATCCATTGACTTGCACAATTATTAAACCTGGCACTCCTAACATTTTTTCGTACTCCTTGAACTTATAGTCCTTGGACCTTGACTTAAAACCGGTTTTTGCCTGTCCTGCTGCACCCACTGCAATATAGTTATGCATTTTGCAACCTTTGCATACTGCAACTCAGTTCCACACAATTGCAGATAGATAGAAATACAGATAGATAGATAGATAGATAGATCAGATATGTAGATATATCTTGTGTAGATATATATTTGGATNCTCTTGTATTATGGATATCGAGATCTTTTGTTAATCTGCAGATTAACTCAAACTTTTTTCGAAATCCCGAATTGTAATTAGCTAGAGAGGAGCAAACACTAAAATGAATATACGAGAAGAAATACCTTTGATCCTCAATTTAAAAGTGTCCATAGTGGATATCGGGATTTTAAGTATAACCTCAAAAATTTAGACTAACCATATTTGCTAGGGTCAAATTTTTGCAAGATTACCAACACGAATTTTGTAACTCCTGACAAAATGAAACGATCGGTTTTCAAAAAAGTAAAAACGATCCTTACCTTTACTCGTAGTAGCGGCAAGTACGAAAAATCATTTTATTTTGTTGATCTTGGAAATTCAAAACTTTTTATTTTTTCTTCAGATCTTCAGAAATAGTCAAGCTTTGACTCGAATTTTGTAAAATTTCACACCATTTCAAATTGCATCATATATCTTCGAAACCAGATGATGTAAACCATTGATACTTTTAAACTTAGATTATCATATTTATAATTTGAAATATCTAAGGTCTTGGTTTCCAAATATATATGGATTCGAAAATCAGGGTTTTTGGCTAAACTCAATTCCTTTAATACAGAAAGATTGACCATTAAATATTCCAACGTTGTTGGATTTTTTTCTGGCGAACAATGAAGAGTTTCTTTGTAAAGAAAATACTAAACAAGATTTAAATATGTGAATCCCACTGATTTATATAATTTCATATTTTTTGTAAAGAAAATACAAAACAAGATTTCAAAGTGTGAATCCCACAGATCTATAAAATATGAGATTTTTTGTAATTACCAAATAGATTATCATGTACAGTAGGCGGCAACTGAGAAATTGACCGATTATACATGACGTCACAACTCACAGTCACAAGTGTCAAATATAACAAGGAAAAAGAAATTATTTAACATGTTTCAAAGATTTAAAAAAGTGAAAATATAGAATAATATTGCACTTATTTTACTTTAAGATAAGAACTTTATTCTAAAATTATCACTTTTATTAATAATTTTGCCGGACACAAGAACTAAATTGACACTTGTGACGTAAGAATACAGCCGTACTGTAAGTTTACAAATTCTACGATGCCATAAATTGTACTAGAATCTTTTTGGTACTTACGTAATCTTAGACATATTCCCTAATTTCATCACGTAATCTATCTATATTTATAAAATAGTAATATGTTTGTATGTCCGATCATAACTCAGGACTCCGTTAACCGATTTGCCTCCGTTAACCACGAGAATGTGTGTAGCTTGGTTTTTAAGTTCTTAGTTGAATTGGTTATCTCTTTTCATTTACAGGCAAACTGGTTTTAATAAAATAAAAAAAATTAGGTCTGTTTAAAATTTATGGATTTTTTGTCAACAATGGTACCCAGAAAACTGTAGAATAGGAAGACGACTGTTACACTCCAGTCCTGATATTCAATAGTCGATCCAATCAGCATAAAATACAGCAATTAAGATTTACAAAACATACTAAAATGTAGTCTTCATCTCGAAGGAGATTTCGAACGTTAAACACTCAAATTTTTCTCGATTAAAGGGACTGTTAGCTAAATTTCAAGAGACCCTTTATGCAAAGAGGACAATGCCCGATTCACAAAGTTTCCCCCGAAACTTTTAACTGTTCATCGAGCAGAGAGATCTTTCTGTTTAAACTTATCAAAGCCTGCTTGAATTCCTCTAAAACGCGACTGCACGGTTGTAAGCTGTGTACAGTCTGAACGCAAACAGCTGATCTGTAANTTTCCCCCCCCCCCCCCTCCTCCTGCTGCGCGCATATTTCGGTATGCTTTAACAAAGAAAGATTTGATGGTTCAATAATAATAAACAGAACTATAAATAGTGATGCAATGATTATTCTCTGCCTTGATATATCTAGCTCTCATTCACTACAGTTTATTTTTGTAATTTGCACACTATACTACAGAACTGCAAAATCCTTTAACTTTTGCAAAATAATGTTTTGCAATATTTTAACAATTATATCCCGACCGATTTATTTACGTTATCACCAAAAATATAAAACAATTTCGGGCACCCTACTATATGGCTAGTTTATACACTTTTCATTCAACTAGAAACTTAAGACAGGGTAACGTTATAAAACCAAGCTTTGAAAACTGGGTTTTATGAATTTTGTAGATACTTAAATTTGTGTCAACATGCATTTAATTGGTCAAATTGGTGAATTCAGTTGGTTTCCGTCGTTTTCTAAAAAGTAGAGATGTGCAATTACTTATTATTATAAAAATTGATGATTAAATTAAAATGATAAAACTTTAAATAGATAAATGAGGAAATCTCATTCTCACTGATCATTGGTACAACTTCGTGACCTCGTAGCTCCTCTAGCTTATGGTTACATAAAAGAAATTTCAAACACTATCGTTCGTCTCAATATAAACATAGGATAGTCTGATTTTAGCTATATTTTCATGAAACAATAATCACAAATAACCCTAGCTAGTGCTGCCATTTTTAAGAGCAAAAATGACAGACCCATTTTAGAAATGACACGATCAGGGCTATTTTGTGAAAAATATTGATAAAATCAAGTTATCCACAAAGAATGCCGCAAACTGTTTCTAAGTTCACTAAAGACGACTCTAATTATATTATTTCTGTATTATATTTCAATCTTACGTGCAATGTACTTTAGTTTGACGTGGGAAAATATGTTAAACGAAACTCGGTTTAGTTTCCTGCTCTGGGTTTCGTTGAACGAAACTCAGTTTAGTTTCCTGCCCTGGGTCCTCCTATAGCTGACCGGCTAGGAGCCAGGTTAAATTAACGTCATGTTGCCATTTAAAGAAATTTCAAGGGATCCTTCAGTGCAGTTTCTTTTAAGCCTCCTTTCCTTTAGAGGCTGATATCAGTTTGCACCCATCCTCCAGTCATAGAGGCCTTAGGTATATTTATATATGTAAATGCTGAAAATATAGACAGGGTAAACAATAAAATCAGTGTTAATCAAATCAAATAAATCAAATCAAATTTTTTGTGAAAAATATTGATAAAATCAAGTTATCCACAAAGAATGCCGCAAACTGTTTCTAAGTTCACTAAAGACGACTCTAATTATATTATTTCTGTATTATATTTCAATCTTACGTGCAATGTAATTTAGTTTGACGTGGGAAAATATGTTAAACGAAACTCGGTTTAGTTTCCTGCTCTGGGTTTCGTTGAACGAAACTCAGTTTAGTTTCCTGCCCTGGGTCCTCCTATAGCTGACCGGCTAGGAGCCAGGTTAAATTAACGTCATGTTGCCATTTAAAGAAATTTCAAGGGATCCTTCAGTGCAGTTTCTTTTAAGCCTCCTTTCCTTTAGAGGCTGATATCAGTTTGCACCCATCCTCCAGTCATAGAGGCCTTAGGTATATTTATATATGTAAATGCTGAAAATATAGACAGGGTAAACAATAAAATCAGTGTTAATCAAATCAAATAAATCAAATCAAATAAAATCAAATCAAATCAAATTAAATCAAAGATAAAGGGATCAAAATTTTTAGTTTGTGGCAAATACTCAATTCCTTTGCAAAGAAAAAAACAATTCAGGAACATGAAGAATTAAATCCACAAACTTTAAACTAAACTTAAATTAATTTTATGTTTCCAGCGCCCGCAATTTATAAGCTTCGGCTCGGGTCGTAATTTCTTAGGCTCGACTTAATAAGTTAGGCCGATATCGGTTGGTTTTAGTGAAGAATAAGGCTCAATGTTGAGTCTTATTCTCGCCATGCAACTTTAATCCGAAAGCCCCAAGCCGTAAATAAGGCCCAACGGCAGCTGAGACCTGAATCGTATTTTCCCGAATTTTTTAAATCGTGGGCTCTGTGAATCTAATATTTTAATAAAAGTATAAATTATGACAATATTGCTATAATTTATCCGACAATTGCATAATGGTTTTTGTTGTAATTGTCTCAGTCGTATGCTGGTATGCTATATAAAGCACTTTGTATATTCAATAGATAAATAATAGAACAGTTGCAATATCTAAGATTCAAAATAATTCATGTAGAAGATTTCTTTTTTATATCGGCTTGCAAAGTTAAAGATATATAAAGTATATATGTAAAAAGCATCTTTACTTTTTACATTTTCTTTATGTATGTTAAGTGTCTGAACCCCTTTTTTCCATAATAGCTTTGCTCTGATCAAAAATGTATGTTCTTTGAAAAAATGTTTAAAGATAGTAATTGGCTGAAACTTCACATAGGTGACTAGGCTAAAAATATTTTTGGAAATTCAATTGACAAGGCCGGGTACTTAAACTAAAATTGCATCTTCATACTACTGCAAGTAAATAACGATACTTAAAATAAATTTCCAGAATGCGTTATGAGATATCATCACGCTATGCTCGTTCTTGTAGCCCACAATCATTCTCTTATTCAAGGTTAAAGTTTACAATTTATAAACATGTACTGTACTGTGCTGTACTGTACTGTACCGTACTGTACTGTACCGTACTGTACTTTACCGTACTGTAATTTACCGTACTGTACTGTACCGTACCGTACTTTCATGTACTGTACTGTACTGTACCGTACTGTACTGTACTGTACTATACTGTACTGTACTGTACTGTACNGATATTTTTATTTTAGTTTTAAATTGACATAATGCAGACGTTTCCTTTTAATGTAAACTGCTAAACTTATTTTCCCAAAAAGTAAACTCAATCTTTCCCATAAATTGGCTTATTTTTGAAAACATTTTGAACATTAAACATGATGCATCATAACATACTCTTAAAGATCAATGGACGCCCATAACCCAAAATTTGCACTATTTAACGAGAAAATTGCAAATTGCAAATCTGTAACGCCCAGGTAATGTCAGTTATTTTTTTTTGATTATTTCATCTTTTCTTATTTATTAGACTACCCAAAACAATTTGTCTCGGTACCAGCAGTTTATAAACTGAACACACAACTAAATGATCTTTAATAAACTTCTTAAATTTCTTAAAGGTATGATCTTCCGCGTGATGCGGCAGAATTTCTTAATTACAATGGCCTAAATTAATCATTTAATAACGTAACAATTGCCGGAAGACTCAAATACACTGACATAAAAAAACCGTAAGGTTGTGGCTCATGGCTGCTGGAAGACAAAAAAGATAATATGTGGCATGGAAGGGGAAAAAATTGTGGCTTATGGCCGTTTGCCTTCCCCCTCTCATATAACCAACTCATATACCTAACAGTCTTCCAAGAGTAATAACTAATTAAATTAACTTTATCTATATCTAGCTTACGACGGGAGTCCCTTTCTGAGCATGTGGACAGTCTGATTGCTAGATCTAGGATACATGATCAGGTATATCTAATCTAATAATTTATTTTTCCGTTGAAAATATGACAGGTTGTTCATAAAAATTACATATTTATTAATTTATTAATAAACCCTATGAGATACAGAGTGAGCATTAAAAAAATAGTGTCTTTATCAAAAGGTGTTTAACATAAATTACTACATGCCTTTACAAGATTTTAAATTGTGCACTTACTTTTTGTATCTTAAAACTCGACAAAGTACTGAATATATTTATATGTAGATACTAGATAGGCATTTGGTATTTGATCAAAATTCTTTATAATTCTTAAAGCGCAAGAAATTTGCCAGGACAACTGAATGTCTTTCTTTACCACTGAGAATGAGACACACACAGCTAATCAAATTGTGCGTCACATTTCAAGATTTGGCGTGTTGCAATGCTTTGGGCTTGGTTTTCCTTTTTTTCTGATATCTTATATCATTTACCATTAAAAACTGTAAATCTAGACAGCGTTTATTAGAGACACCCTTCAAGATTAAAGAATATGTGTGTATCCTGCAGAAATACACGAAAGATCAATTCTATTTATAATTTACTCAGAATTCCACCCATCTCTAGAAAACATGAACTCGAAAACAAAATATCAGGCTTAAACTATGTCTACAGGAAAAATAGGCAATAAAATAAGACGTTTTTCTTTGATCCATGCAAGCAGTTTTAATTTCACACATGTACAGATCGTTTTGTTATAATTTTTCAATTTATTTTACATTTTTACACTGTCAAGAAGTGGTTTAAAATTTTGACTAAACAAAACGTGAGGTTCGGATCTCAGCATGGGGGGTTCCGAATAGAAATTTTGTAGTCACGGAATACTTTTTTAAAACTACCTAATTATTCGGAATAAAATATTTGGGGCTCATTGCCGTAACCCATCCCTCCCTCGGTCACACAAAGTCGTATATATTAATTATAGTTTTCATCAACTAAAGGGAATCTCAGTTTTTAAAAAGTTTATCCGGCCATGCTTGTTCATTTATCCCTATCACGGTTGGGGGGGGGGGGNACATTAATAGACATTAAAGGGACTGTAATTTCAAATATGAAATATTCCTAAATTTATAAACATTAAGAGACATTAAAGGGACTGTAATTTCAAATATGAAATATTCCTAAATTTATAAACATTAAGAGACATTAAAGGGACTGTAATTTCAAATATGAAATATTCCTAAATTTATAAACATTAAGAGACATTAAAGGGACTGTAATTTCAAATATGAAATATTCCTAAATTTATAAACATTAAGAGACATTAAAGGGACTGTAATTTCAAATATGAAATATTCCTAAATTTATAAACATTAAGAGACATTAAAGGGACTGTAATTTCAAATATGAAATATTCCTAAATTTATAAACATTAAGAGACATTAAAGGGACTGTAATTTCAAATATGAAATATTCCTAAATTTATAAACATTAAGAGACATTAAAGGGACTGTAATTTCAAATATGAAATATTCCTAAATTTATAAACATTAAGAGACATTAAAGGGACTGTAATTTCAAATATGAAATATTCCTAAATTTATAAACATTAAGAGACATTAAAGGGACTGTAATTTCAAATATGAAATATTCCTAAATTTATAAACATTAAGAGACATTAAAGGGACTGTAATTTCAAATATGAAATATTCCTAAATTTATAAACATTAAGAGACATTAAAGGGACTGTAATTTCAAATATGAAATATTCCTAAATTTATAAACATTAAGAGACATTAAAGGGACTGTAATTTCAAATATGAAATATTCCTAAATTTATAAACATTAAGAGACATTAAAGGGACTGTAATTTCAAATATGAAATATTCCTAAATTTATAAACATTAAGAGACATTAAAGGGACTGTAATTTCAAATATGAAATATTCCTAAATTTATAAACATTAAGAGACATTAAAGGGACTGTAATTTCAAATATGAAATATTCCTAAATTTATAAACATTAAGAGTATTAAAGGGAATTCAATGATCAGTTAAGGGTTTAAAGGGTACCTTTGTAAATCGGGTATTTCTCTTTATTGTGGAGGGTCACAATTAAAACGACGCTTACTATCCCTTTAAAAAAGCCTTTTATTGTTAAAATTATAGAAAATAGCTTTTAAAAATTCTTAGAAGCTTAGAAACATGTTGAATCTATTGTCAGTGAGTCTTCATTTTCAACCCAATCTTTTATAAATATTAACTTGTTGCATAATGTAATTTCAAATATAAATATTCCTAAACTTATAAACAGAGTCATTAAAGGAACTGTAATTTCAAATATAAAATACTCCTAATTTTATAAACATTAAGAGACATTAGAGGGACTGTAATTTCAAATATAAATATTTCTAAACTTATAAACATTTAGAGACATTAAAGGGACTGTAATTTCATGGATAAAATATTCCTAAACTAAAAAATTCTTAGAAGCTTAGAAACTTATTGAATTTATTGTCAGTGAGTCTTCATTTTCAACCCAACTTTTTTATTAAATATTAACTTATTCCATAAACTGTCTTGACCGGGCCGACTGCCTTTGATTTAACCTCTTTCTAAAACATTTATTCATTTGTGTCTTTGTTATATATACATTTTATAACATGGTACGTTTTTAATTGAATTGTGAATGACTATATTTAGATCCGAGCCAGCAGCCTTGAACCCTTCTCTGATATTGCAGAATTACCAACTATTAGGTATAAAGTGTATCTTATTGTTGACCCAGGGGGGGGACGCGACGATCATTTCCCCACTTTAAATCTTTCTTTCTTTCTTGCTTATATATTAATTTTCCATTAATTTTCAATTACTATTTGCCACCTGTTCTGTTCCTTATAATTATACCTAATAATTGTAGAAATCCTAAAAAGAATCGCTAAAAAAAATTTCATCTCAAAGGGAGTGTAAACATAATTTTAAGTGACACTTCCATGCATAGATGACAATGGCCGATTTACCCGGTACCCTTGAAACTTTTATCTGATCAATAATATGGAAGATATTGTCTCTTTTGTAGAGAATTAAAAATAATCGGTTTTCAAAACTGTAAACATATTTATATCTAATTCATACGGACAAAGCTTTTCAGGTGTACCATTGTGAATCGGATATTGACATCTTTGCACTCAGGTTCACTGAAAATTACCCTAATAGTCAATATGGTTATTGTATTGAAAATAAAACGAATATAATAATGTTTTAGCGTTAGCAGGTTTTAAGTTTCAGCCTATTGATGCATTATGGTTAATTTTATCATCCTAATATAATTCTACCAGAGCTATAAACTTTAGAATTGTAAATACCGAGATCAATGCTTGATCTTCTCTTTTTGTTAATCTCAAGATAAATATATTCTTAAGTTTATATCCGCAAAAGTGTAAATATCTTAACCAATCGAGTGGCGTTTGGAGAAACCGGAACAGCCAATCAGAGAAGCCAGGAAATTTGAAATTTTGCGCGCCATTTACTGAGTGGTTTCTCATACAAGGATGAGAAAGGAAAATATAAAGTAATCAATTTGCTATAGATGTCTCTTGTTTCAATTGTTCGTAGAGGTACAAAGTTGTCTCCTACGAGCAATTAAGGCAGGAGGTTTCTACCTCCCAGCTCATCTATATTTATATATTATCTTTGCTATCATATCTTAAACAAACTACGGATATACAAAAAGAGAGAAAAGAGAGGATTACAAATTAGATTAAGCAATCGAGATTAAAGGTATCAAATTCTAAAGTTTTGAGCTCATATTTTAGAATAATTTTGTTTGAAATCTTGTTTAGAACATCAACGATAGTTTGCACTCCGTTGTCTCCTTGGAATAAAACTGGAGAGTTCTACTACCCGAGGTATAACCTTTTTTTCTTATTTTTTTACATTTTTTTACATTTGCTCCAGTTTAATTCATTTATTTCAGTTTTTTTAACAGTTTTTCTAGATTTGAAAAATTCTTTTTTTAAACAGTTTTTCCAGCTCTAACCAGTATTTTTTAAAGTTTTAATTCGATCTTTGCCAAGTTTTGCCAATTTTGTTTTTACCAGTTTTTTGCAAGTTTTTTTATTACAAATTTGTATTCCTCTTTTTATTAACTTTTAACATTTTTTCTTCTTGTTTTAAAAGTTTTTATAGTTTATAATGTTTTCACCAGTTTTAACCCTAGCCCCTTGTGTTTAAATTCCCTAAAATCATGTATTTAGATACCTAAAACCTTGTGTTTATATTCCTTAAAACCTTGTGTTTATAACCTGAAACCTAAGTTATGTTTAGGTATGAAACCTTGTGTTTAGGTACCCAGAAACCTTGTGTTTAGGTATCCTGAAACCTTGTGTTTAGGTATCCTGGAACCTTGTGTTTAGGTATCCTGAAACCTTGTGTTTAGGTATACTGAAACCTTGTGTTTAGGTACCCAGAAACCTTGTGTTTAGGTATCCTGAAACCTTGTGTTTAGGTATTCTGAAACCTTGTGTTTAGGTATCCTAAAACCTTGTGTTTAGGTATCCTGAAACCTTGTGTTTAGGTATCCTGAAACCTTGTGTTTAGGTATCCTGAATCCTTGTGTTTAGGTATCCTGAAACCTTGTGTTTAGGTACCCAGAAACCTTGTGTTTAGGTATCCTGAAAGCTGGAGGGGTACTGCAGCCACGACACCTCTAAGAGGAGATTATTATTATTGGAGTAACCCTGCTAGATATTACAGGTTTATCAAGTTTTAACAATAAAAAACTATATATTTTTTACTAGACTATCAGGGCGTTTTGCACTTTTTTGTCCTTTCATAAGTTTAGCTTTAAAATCTTATTTTCAAGCACCATTGTGAATCTGAAATTTGCGTTTTAGATCAGACTTTTTGATGGATTTCCAAAAAAATTTAAAATTCAATATTTTTTCTTGGCAAAAGATGTATTAAAATATGGTATAAGTAACAAAAGATATAAATAACATAAGTTATAATCAAAAAATATATAGAAGGGAATAGTAACAAAAGATTTGAATTATGATTTTAAGATTAATGAGCAAATTTTTCATACTAATTTTCTTATTTTATACTATTTACCTTCTACCCTTCCCACCCTCCCTCTCTCGCTCATTGTCCAAAAAGAAAACTGATTTTTAAGCCCACAATTGTACAGTTAATCAACTTAATACATTATACATCTGTATTCAGATTGGAATATCAACTATATACATTATACAGTGGTATTCAGATTGGAATATCAACTCAATACATTATACATCTGAATTTAGATTAGAATATCAACTCAATACATTATAAATCTGTATTTAGATTGGAATATCAACTCAATACATTATACATCTGAATTTAGATTGAAATATCAACACAATACATTATACATCTGTATTCAGATTGGAATATCAACTAAATACATTATACATCTGTATTCAGATTGGAATCAACTCAATACATTATAAATCTGTATTCAGATTGGAATATCAACTCAATACATTATACATCTGAATTTAGATTGAAATATCAACTCAATACATTATTCATCTGTATTCAGATTGGAATATCAACTAAATACATTATACATCTGTATTCAGATTGGAATATCAACTAAATACATTATACAGCGGTATTCAGACTGGAATATTACCAGAGTAAATGTATTATTATTATTAATTCTTTGCCAACTAATTGGCCATGTGCTAAAGGTATATAAGGCTGGGGCAAGATTCACTGTGATCTAGACAACTCTAAAACTTAGTCATCAAAATTTGTAGACAGCTTCAACAGTGTACTATTTACCTTCTACCCTTCCCACCCTCCCTCTCTCGCTCATTGTCCAAAAAGAAAACTGATTTTCAAGCCCACAATTGTACAGTTAATCAACTCAATACATTGTACATCTGTGTTCAGATTGGAATATTACCAGAGTAAATGTATTATTATTATTAATTCTTTGCCAACTAATTGGCCATGTGCTGAAGGTATATAAGGCTGGGGCAGGGTTCACTGTGATCTAGACAACTCTAAAACTTAGTCATCAAAATTTTTAGACAGCTTCAACAGTGTGGCATCTTTTTGTAGCTCTAATCATATTTATTAACGCGAATGTTTCTTGAAAGGAGTAATTGGCAAAATACTGCTTGATTTTTGTGTACGAGCTTGCACATCTTGGTTTGCAGTAGGTTCTGAACTGATGAACCAACAGTCTGATTTTCTGACAATGCAGAGCACTAGATCTTCTTCCACTGTTCTCTGCCTTATCATTTCCAACAGAATTAGACGAAAAGATTCGAACTGTTTCACTCTTTCCAGATATTGGGCTTCGCTTCGAATATTGAGTTCCAAGGCCTAGAACATATTAAGGATGATTATATTAAAAACTGAATGTTTTGAGTAAAAATTGAATATTACCTATTCCAACTCTCTAGAGTCTTGTGTGGTCACTCTGACATCCTGAATTGCTGTGAACTGATTCCAAACAGTAATGACCAATGGGGAAGAGTGAAGGTCTAAAGGTGGCAGGACGACCAGCTCTGTCCAACACTTTCTTCCCAACCCAAGTATAAAAAATTTGTCCAATGCCTCTTCTCCAAGTACCTATTCCTCATTCTTAGTAAACGTTTAAAGGCTGTAAAGTATGTATAAGTTAAGTATTGTTCATAAAAGTATGTATAAGTTAAGTATTGTTCATAAAAGTATGCTTACATAGTTTGAGCTTTCTTGATCTTGTTTCTCAATGACAGAATCTAGTATATGTTAATCGTAGAAACTGGTTACTTCATCCTCAACCAAGTGAATATATTTTGTGCACCTGTTCATTGAACATTAGATCCACATTGTAAAATGTCTGTAAGCCTTCTGTCAAGTGGCCATATATGGCTTTTCTTATAGTAGTATCAGGGACTACAACCTCTATGGTATTCATTATGCCATTTTAAAAATTACAGACAGCAGTAGAAAAACAGGGTTGGTCAACCTTTTCTTTTTTCAAGGGCTAATAACTTTTCATATGTTAAATGCTTTTATCAGAAAGCAAAGCAAAAACATATGGAAGACCCTGGCCATGCCTAAGAAACATTTTACCGACTTTATGTGCGATGGCGAAGTTGTCGGGTAAATCATTCTGGACTATATATATTTGCCATCGGTTTGTTGGAAAATAAATGTTTGCAGGGCGCCAGTCTCAGGCTGCGCCATCACTACATACACTTGTAAAGGATACATTTGTCTATCTTATAAACAATTTTAAAATATAAATATTTTACCTGTGAGAAAGAAATAGGTGCAGTTTTAAGTGTTCCCTTTATCTAACAACCAACTAGAATATGTTCTTAAGATTTATGCACCATTCTGGATTATAAATATCATCATTCCTGTCAGCTCATTTTAATCAGTCCACCCTTTGTAAATGAGGAACTCTCCTCTGCCATCGATTTTACTAAATTACTCAGTTAGGTCTTCATTTAGTTTACTGAATTCTTTTGGAAGCTTGAGTGTATAGGGTTGGTTTTCTTATTTTCTCTCCACACCGCCATCTTGAGAACTCCTTTAGAACTCATACTATTTACCAGATTTTCACCATGCTCTCAAACTGCAGGCAATCACGCTAGTGGCTCTCATTTCCTTGACCTTGGTCAGTCTTTTAATCAAATCTCTTTCATGTGGTTATTCATAAAATTTTCCCTTGAAAAAGAATTGATTTTTTGGCATAAACTCTAATTTTCTAACCCCAATATCTACGCAATATCTATCGCAGACCTTTGATATTTCTAACTATCAATTTAAGACATAGTCTAAGTTTGAAATATCAAAAGATTACATCATCAGGTTGCATCAGTTTGAAATATCAAAGGATTACATCATCAGGTTGCATCAGTTTGAAATATCAAAGGATTACATCATCAGGTTGCATCAGTTTGGGGCAAAAACTCGGCTCCTTTTTCAAATAATGACTAGGAGTTCGCTTGTACAGTTGCAACCAGAAAACATAGAATTATTGGCTTCTTCTCCTTTCTTTCTTTCAATCCAGTTTATTTACTACAAAAGGGTTTCTAATTTGTATATTTATTTATATAACTGTTATAGTGGTCAGAAAATTTTAAGAGTTCGGAACTTTTGTATGGATATTGATAATCTTGAATGCTTGATCTCGATAAACTAGATTGGCACTTTTGAATTTGATCCTAAATTAAAGTTGTTCCTTCAGGATATCGAAGAGGAATGAAATTAATCCGTACACAGGTTTGAACAAGATGGATATCAATGTTTGATCACAAAATTTACAAATCAATGTTTTAATGTTCATTGTATGTTTAGATACAGAGATTTCTATCCTCGGCATTTCTACTATCCAAGCAGAAGATACTATCCTTCATCTTATATACTATCCAGATAGATAGATAGATAAATATAGGTACACTTTATACTATCCAGATAGATAGATAGATAAATATAGGTACACTGTATACTATCCAGATAGATAGATAGATAGATTTACACGTAAAAAAGAAAACTGTTAATTAATGGCTTTTAATTCTTTCCATGTAGATACATCCATACTGTTTGAAAGCTTACAGTTAAATGCTAAATGAGCCATACATCTAAAGAATTTATCAAATGTCGTCTTGACAATTTTTCAATGGGTTTTATGCTGTTTTACGTACATCTCAGTATTCGCGAAAATAAATAAATAGCCATGAATATGCGGGAACAGTTTTAAAGGGCTCCATAAAATCATTTAATTAAAAAACTAAATATCTTCAACATTCCATCAGCAGAAAGTAAAGAATACGACATAAGATAAGATAAGATAAGATAAGATAAGATAAAGTTTATTGCTAAAATACATGTGTCTGTGTACAGAACGAGTTTACAATTACAAATTTATGATTACATTAACAGTACAAGAATAAAGCAAATGATAACAAACATTTTAATTAAATAGATTTAAAGAGAAGTATTAGAGATCAGGGTGCGATTTTATCTTATGCAAAATAGTTTATACATTGATTAGAATAACTAGAGTTTAAAGTTATTTTATGACATGTACGCAACAAATATCAAAGCATATTAAAACATACCTATTAGTTTTACATGAATAGCAATTCGGTTTATAACACATTGTAATGTAATTTTCAAAAAGAGAATTTAGTAGTCTATTTTTAAATATACTTAGAGAGTTGCTCCTTTTTAAGTCAAGAGCCAGGTAATTCCACATCTTCAGAAGAGAGCTTGAATGTAAATACTGTAATATTATAATATACTTGCTGAATTCTTTAGCGCCCAACTTTATGAAGCGGTTGGATAACATTTGTCGCGTATGGCTATTTATTTATCTTTACAAAAAAATTTTTTTTGAAAACTTTCATTCCCAAAAAAAACTTTAACTCTCAATACAGAACTTTGGATAATGTTTCAGTAAACAACACATATCCCTGTAAAACTTCTTGCAAAAAAACTTAGCTTAGGAAAATACGACTGTCAGCTTCAAATTGAAATTTAAGGCGACATCATATAAATTCTTCCGATGTATTTATATTATGAGTTTAACTGTAGATAGATAGATAAATTTTAGGTGTACACTATATAGATAGTTAAATAGATAAATATAGGTACATTTTATGCTACAGTGGTCTGCGTTCATATCAATATAATGAAGACAACTTTTCAATTTTAGTTTTGATTTAAATACATTTTATACTACTTAGATAGATAAATAGGTACAATCCAAACTTATATTTATTTATCGCAGGATTTTAAATTTTTCTGAATTTTTCTAATTCAACGACAAAACTTTTTTAATTTGGATTTCCTCTTCTTCTTGGAGTTGAAGGAGTTCAACCACTTCTTACTATTCATAAAATCTGAACTCTGAAAATAATTTTTTAAAAAAATGACAATACTTTATCAAACTAAATAATTTATTATAGGATTAAGTTGTGGTGTATACCTCCTTTGAAATACGAGAGGTGTAAAGGTCTTTAAGATTATGTAATATTAAAAACCATTTCTATTTCGACAATATTGATTAACCCAGTTAACTAATGTATTTGTATTTATACAAATAAAATAATATTTTGTAAAATATCTTTTTAAATGCGACACCAATTACGGAGTTGTCCACTCACTGCAGTGATCTAAAGGTTGCAAGCACTAATGCAAAAATATAGAAGAATTCTGTCACTTTCTTCTTGATAACTCAAGCAAAAAACAAGTGCTTTATGGTTCTAAAAAGTATATGTCTAGTGCTACAAAAAAAAGCTTTGAGTTTATGAGATAAAATCAAGGCGTTGTGACACATCAAAGTCAACCCAGTCAACCCAGTTTGATGCAACCTTTCAGAGCAGTCTGGATCTTACGAACCCAGCAAATGAAAATAACCTGTTTAAAGAAACAAAAAGATGCAGATATAATTCATATTTGATCATAAAAAGTTTTCAATGGTACCGTTGTAAATCAGACATTGCCATCTTTGCATAGAGGGTCATAGTCCCTTTAATCTGATTTAGTATTTAGCAAGTAAGTAATTATTTATTTATAAAATGCAACAAAAACATACAAAAAATTTAAGTGTTTCAAGAGAAAATATTTAAAAACCTTCAAAGATAGAGGCTCTGGAAATGTTTCCCCACAATTCTAAAAAAAGAAAAAGGAAAGTTGCATATTTATTCTGCATATTAATATAACTGGTGGTGGATTGTAAGATTTTAAAAGTTTTAACCCTATCCCGATTGGGCTATTATTGTCTAATATATATGTCCCTAGTCTAATTTTTCAAGGCCTGCTCGTTAAAAAAAAATCAGACCTCTAGCTTTAATAGATCTATAGATGTAAACAGCGTTCTAGTGTAAACCGTTGTTGAGTTATTTGGGAAAAACCACATAGGGGGGTGGAACATACCCATCGTTTCAGGGTTAAAGGTTGTAAAAAGATATGGGTTTTGCATGAAACGAAAATTTTAAAGGCATATTTTAAATTCGTGCCGAGTTTTGACATTTTTTATTTTAAATTATAACTTTTACTCTGATTAATAATTTTAGTCTTTTCGTTGCAAATCGTCTTTGCTTTCTACGATCCTTTTTGCAAACAGAGCATATATTAGAGTTAAAACATTAGTTCTGCTTCTAAGAAATCCTCAAATAGATTCTGTTTAAATTTCGTAATAAGATCAATAGTTGAAAGTTTAGAAAAGTTTTGTTAATTTTCATACCATATTTTGGGGAAGTTGTGGGGAGGAAGTAGTCCGATTTTAATAGATTTTACGTTCAAAAATATCGGTTGAAAAGAAACACCCTATAGAAATGTAAAGAAGGTACGTATGATAATTGTTTAAAGCCCATAAAGCTTTCGCTGTGTCAATGTGACTTATTCTGTAGCTAAATCAGGTTGCAAACATATAGTCATTTGAATTTGTTGCAAAGAATCGATTCCTTTTGTGAAAAAACTTCGTAAATCTAAACTATGAAGAAAAAATTACAGGAACAAAAAACACATAATTTTGTATTTCAGAAACAATGAGTTTACAATAAATATTTTTAATACTAAATTTGAAATCACGTGACTTATAAAATCTATTAAAAAATACCAAAAATACCCTAATTGTGTTCTAGCTAACCGTTTTAAGTTTCGTACAATGGTCGTCGTTTACATCAATACAATAAAGATGACTTTTCTATTTAAGTTTTAATTTCTAACAAGCTTTTTTCAAATTACAAGTGTTACAAGTAAACAAAGAGAAACTAACTATTTATTGACAGCTTCTCTTTTTTTCCATGTTAATGTGTATCCATGTTGTCTGTAAGCTTGGCAGAAATGAAAATTTAAATCAAAAGTCGTCTTCATTGTATTAATATATACGACGACAACTGTGGATTTTTATAAATTGGTATTCAGATCTTGAAGCTTTTTATTCAAAGTAAGTACATACCTCCTTAATTAAAGTTATAATAAGAAAGTTTACAAGAAAAGAGGATTTGGGTTTATTTGGCTGGTTTAATTGTGTTTCTAAATCGACAATTAGACTAGGTAAACCATGAACAGTCCCTTTAATAAAACAATTTTAAAAATCAGCTGATTTTGCGGACACCATCCGAAAGGGAATACATTTGTGTGAAGCTTTATACAAACAATAATAAATATTAATGAAAACCTTTTTAAAGTCTTTTTAGAAACGTTTCTTAGAGGGACTGTTGGCGTAGTTTTAAAAGACCCTCATGCAAATTCACAATTGCCCTGTAAAGCTTTGTCTCATACGAACTTTTATAACATTAAAAACTGATTACTTACAACGGTTTGTCTTGCGACTTTCTATACTGGAATGGGAATGGGAATTATCAGAAATAAACATTTTCAAACCTCGAAATATCTTGAATATTATTGATAAGATGAATGTTTAAAGGGTACCGTTGTGAATCGGGTATTGCCATCTTTGCAAAGAGGGTCACTTGAAATTACGCTTTGACAGTCCTTTAAATATACTATACAATGGGATTTTGTTTTTATCCAAGGATAAAATTTTTATAAAAAAGTAGAAGATAAAAGATAAAATTTTGGCACAATTATTTGAACATATTTTTACCAGGTGGTATTTAGATCGTTAAGATTTCTTAACTAGGTCATTTCTTAAATAATGTTTTTCTTTTTTTTCATAAACGTCCCCCTCCTTCCCATCCTTCTTCTTCTTCCTCTTCTTCTCCTCCTTCTCCTCTTCTCCTCCTCATTATTCTTCTTCTCCTTCTTCCTCTTCTCCTCCTTCTCCTCCTTTTCCTCCTTATCCTCCTTATCCTCTTTCTCCTTCTCATCCTTCCCCTCCTTCTTCTTTTCCTTCTCCTCCTTCCCCTGCTTCTCCTCCTTCTCATTCTACTCATTCTTCTCCTTCTTCTTCTTCTCTTTCTTTCCCTTCTTCTCCTTCTTATCCTTATTACCCTTCTTCTCCTTCTCCACCTTCTCCTCCTTTCCCTTCTTCTCCTCTTTCTCCTACGTCTCCTCTTTCTCTCTCTTCTCTTTCTTCATTTACTCCTTCTACTTCTACTCATCATCCTCATCCTTCCCCTCTTTCTTCAACCTTCCCCTCCTTCTCCTTATCCCCATTCTGCTTCTTCTTTTTATATCCTCAACCATAATTTTTTCCTGTATTCTTCTCGATTTCTCCCAATTCTCTTCTTTTCCCCCTTTCTCAATATTCTTTTTTCCATTCCTTTTCCCCTTCACTCAACCACCCCCCACCCCCATCTTTTCTTTTTCTGTTTTCTTCTTATTTAATCTTCCATTGTTCTTTGATCCAACTCAGGTCCTCGTAGAGTCTAAAAACATGTTTTTACTAGTTTACTAGGTGTAATCTCTGTTTGTCTGTTTGTCTGTTTGTTTTTCCGATCATAACTTGGGAACCCTTGAATCGATTTGCCTCAAATTTTCATTGGGGAACTCAGGAGACCCTTGGTTTTAAGATTCTAAATTGAGTGGGTCGACTTGGATAGCAAAAATTTTGTTTCCCGGTAAAATTCTTCATGTGCGGGTAAACGGCGGGAGTGAATTTGATAAATCTGGGCAGCGCTGGGTTCCCAAGCTAGTATCATTAAACGATATTTATTTTTTATTTTACACTTTTGTATATTTATCTTGTTATACAGTAAAATTCCCTCATTCTAAACTAAAACTAAATATTGGAAAAATAATCTAATCTTACCAAGTCTATGAATCACATAGAAAGCCAAAAGAGGACTTGTCCACCAATAAGACATGGGGGCATTCCTGTACATAATATTTTATTGTTCATCATAAAGCTAGGGATTTGCGCATTTTTTTGGCAATTTTGCACAAATTACAGATTTAAAAAAAAATTTATTCTGATAGTAAAAATATCAAGAAATATATGTCAATATTCCCCTTATATACTTATGTTTGATGATTTTTCCACATTTATGTCATTATTAATTTGAAAAGAACAAAAATAGACTCATTAGGGATCATTATTTGCCCCTCCTCCTTTCCATCCTTTTCCATTCGGCCCTCCCCTTTTTTTGAATTGTACAGTTTTATAAATGTGGCACAAACCAACTTAAAAAATTCTTAGAACTTTTTTGAATAATTATGTTCTCATTTGATGAAAAAGAAAAATGCTTACCATCGTACATTTAGAGACCACACATGGTAGGTTATAGAGAGTATTAAATAGAGAACTGATACAATGATAGAAACACGAAACCTCGATAGTAGATACCCTACCAGACCCGCCTGAACAATACAACCGTGATTTCAATGTAATGATCAACGTCGGCTCAGATTCTTGCGAAACAACAATTTACTTTTATTTTCAGAAATTTGATCGTGTTTTTTTACTTTTTAAAATTTAAATTAACTATTTTTTGTATAATTTCACCTGGAAAACGTAGGTTGAGAAGAATGAGAGAAAAACAATAATGAGAGAAAATATTAGGCAGACATCTTGGATTCTAAATATTGTTAGATATTAGGCAGACATCTTGGATTCTAAATATTATTTAATATTAGGCAGACATCTTGGATTCTAGATATTATTAAATATTAGGCAGACATCTTGGATTCTAAATATTATTAAATATTAGGAAGACATCTTGGATTCTAAATATTATTAAATATTAGGCAGATATCAAGATTCTAAATATTACTATGTATTAGGCAGATATCATGGATTCTAAATATTACTATGTATTAGGCAGATATCAAGGATTCTAAATATTACTATGTATTAGGCAGATATCAAGGATTCTAAATATTACTATGTATTAGGCAGATATCATGGATTCTAAATATTACTATGTATTAGGCAGATATCAAGGATTCNATTATGCCATCAAATAATTTGATGTAATTCTTGGTTGAAGGATAACTAAGAAAATCTAATTTAAAAATCCTGCAGTATAACAATTACATAGTCGCTGTAATATTGAAATTTGTAAAAAATATGAAAATTTCTTAAGGTACCTTGAGTGTTTTCCGGAAATCGTGTTTCGTGATTTAATGAATGAAATTGTGAAGTAGTTAGACCAATATGACAAGATCTAGACCAATATGACAAGATCTAGACCAATATGACAAGAAATGACATGAACATGAAAAGAATTACAAGAATATGACAAGAAATGACATGAACATGAAAAGAATTACAAGAATATGACAAGACTAACAAGAATATGAAAAGAACTTACACGAATATAACCGGAACTTACTAGAATATAACAAGAACTTACTAGAATATGGAAAAGAACATACAAGAATATGACAAGAAATTACGAGAATATCACAAGAACTAACAATAATATGACAAGAACTTACAGAATATGACAAGAACTAACAATAATATGACAAGAACTTACAAGAATATAACAAGAACCTACACGAAAATGACAAGAAATTACTAGAATATGACAAGAACTAACAATAATATGGCAAGAACTTACAAGAATATAACATGAACCTACAAGAATATAAGAAGAACTTACACGATCGAATATGACAAGAACTTACAAGAATATGACAAGAACTTACTAGAATATGACAAGAACTTACTAGAATATGACAAGAAATTACAAGAATATGACAAGAACTAACAACAATATGACAAGAACTTCCAAGAATATAACATGAACCTACAAGAATATAAGAAGAACTTACACGAATATGACAAGAAGGATGACGGACTCGAATCTGAAGAGCTCTACGAAGGTGTTGATGAGAAGGTCTAGGACGAGGAAGATAATCTGAACACCCAGCATTGATCGGTATCTGGTCACAGACAACTGCATCCTGAGGGTGATTTGTTTTTGTAGGAAATCACGCTAAATTACCACTTTAGTAATTGTAAATTTAACCAGATGCAGACTAAAGTCAGACCACGTCAACCTAGTTCCACCAGCTAGCCCTGCCGTATGTAGTTGGTGTACCAGGTGGAGCAGTACAAACTGGGACCGAAAAGGTCGGTTCAGCTCGGATTCAAATGTACATGAGATAAATCTACTTTACATCCATCTCCAACAACTCTTGTTCTTAATCCACTTTCACTCTGCAAACTAAACAGAAGGAGAAGATCAAAGGAATTGAGTCTTTGTCACAAACTCAGATTTTCTAATCACTATATCTTTGGAACCAAATGTTGCAGACCTTAGATATTTCAAACTATGAATTCTGTTAGATCAAATAATCTGAGTTTGAAATATTGTTTTCCAAAGATATTGAGGTTTAAATATTTGATTTTGTTCCAAAGACTCAATTCCTTTCTGCGATATTACTAGCTTGTGTGAGTGTGACCTCAAAGTTCATATAAGTTTTGATTTATCGCATAAATATGAGAAAAGAAAATTTAAAATATTAGAAATTAAAATCAAAACAGTTTTATTCCTCTCAATAGCTTATCCATAAGAAAAGGTATGATTGTCAACATATAACAGCACAATTTATTTTAGTTTAATATGCTTTGTCAACCTTATTATTTTCTGGTTTTAACAGAAGGATTTAAAAAAGAATTAACTAATCCTCTTAATTTGTATAAATTAACGTTAATCTACAACACTTGATCTCCATTCTCCATATACATATAGGCGAACTTTTAATCTGAGGGATATGAACTTGATCAATTAATTTAAAGGGACAGTGAGTTTAATTTCAAGTGACCCTCTATGGCAATGCTCGATTTACAAGGATAGACTTAAATAATTATTACTTGATCCCGTCATTAATCCCGTTCATTAATCCCGTCATTAATCCCGTTCATTAATCCCGTCATGACCTCAGATCTATTTTGAATATAAAAGTTGCAGTCGTCGCTGTAGTTTCATCCTTATTGGGTAACTCTGTATTTTGGAAACAGTGTAATCTCTGTCATCAAAATCAAAATGGACATTCTTTCCTTTTTAGTAAAATTATAATTAGCACCTAATAAACGTAGAAACGGTTTACCAAAATTGGCCTTAAATTACTTGAATGGCCACTGATATGGCTTTTCCAAACTCTTTTACAAAACTTTGTTTTTTTAAAATTCGGATAAACATTGAATTATATGAATTGTACCTGACGGTATAGAACTGTATTTACGATTTTCTAATCAACGTGTCGCAATACTGACAAAAAATGTAGAATTGGTTCTCTTTATTAGAAAGGAGTATATCTAACTGGGGAGCAGAGGGGGAGGGAGGGGAGTAGAGGGGAGGGATATTACTTTCTACTTACTCTACCTGTCTATACCTTTACTATTAATGTACATACAAAACACGCTATTATATACATACAATATAGATATAAATATAAATATATACAGGGTGGGTCAAAGAGACGGTGAATAGCAATATCTTGCATATATTAAAGCACTTTTTTGGTGATCTATTTTTTGACAAATATGTATGAAATATATTATTTCTATCACATCTTAAAATCATAAACAGATCAGATGAGTAGTTTTGGAGAAAATTCTCTATCTGCAAATTTTCTCCTTACTCTCCCCCCCCCCCTCCTTGCAGTTCACTACGCACAAGTAGGAGGAAGACAACAACCTTTGTTAACGACAGAATCGTTAACAAACGGCTGAACCCGTTCACGATCATAAACACAAAGCTTGAAATGAAACAGGGATGGATTGATTGGAAAAAGAACGAACGAGGAACGAATGATCCAGCTTAAGGCCCTTGTTTACGAACGGTTGAAATACGATCGATTAAATAATTAGGTATTTACTAAGCCCTAATTAGAGCTACCGTCTAATGTTTTCCGGAAATCGTGTTTCGTGATTTAATGAATGAAATTGTGAAGTAGTGAACACAAGATGTAAAATCTTGAAATATACAGCCATTTTTTAAAATTTTGAAAAATTGTTTTTTTTACAGAAGGGACTTGCGCATTTCTGCCCTAAGAAATCAATTAATATAAATTAAAAGAATTACACACATAACGAACTAGACAATGAGGTTATCTTCAACTGCACAGGTTTAAAGGGGGCTCTTGTAAATCCGACATGCTTAAATATATGAGAACTCGAAATTATGACTGCAGTCCCTGTAGGCACATCCAAAACGATAAATTTAAAAACATAATATATCTTTAAAACCTAAATCTAAATCTTTATTCTTTGTGCATCAAATGTAATAATTGACAGACAAAATATTATCATAATCCTCTCGTTTTACACTTTTTTAGAAATTTTTATTCTTCACAAATGTTACGATGCTTATTAGGCCTCCTTATCCCAGCACTTTTACACTCCTCTTCAACCTTAGCCTAGTAAACAAGGGTATATTGCAAGCATCAAATGTAAAAAAAATTCAGAAAGCAAAAAAAAATTTTGGACAAAAAAAGCTTCAAGCTCTATTAAATAAAACATTTTCAGGTCTTTTATCCGATTTTTTGGCAAACTATTTTTTATAAAAAAAAATAAAAGTACCTGGTTAAACTTTAAAGCCGGAGATCTATCCAGGATACAAGATATCCAGGTCCTAAAATTTATTTTTAGTAGACACGATATCCAAGATACAAGAAATCCAGGATGCAAGATATCCAGGTTACAAGATATCCAGGATGCAAGATATCCAAGATACGAGAAATCCAGGATGCAAGATATCCAGGTTACAAGATATCCAGGATACAAGATATCTAGGTCCTAAAATACATTTTCAGTAGACACGATATCCAGGATACAAGAAATCCAGGATGCAAGATATCCAAGATACAAGAAATCCAGGATGCAAGATATCCAGATTACAAGATATCCAGGATACAAGATATCTAGGTACTAAAATACATTTTCAGTAGACAAGATATCCAGGATACAAGAAATCCAGGATGCAAGATATCCAGGATACAAGATATCCAAGACCTTTTTCTGGTATCTATTACCAATGATATTATATGCTGGTGTATATTGCCTATGATATTGTATGCTGGTGTATATTACCTGTGATATTGTATGCTGGTGTATATTACCTATGATATTGTATGCTGTTGTATATTACCTATGATATTGTATATTGGTGTATATTACCAATGATATTGTATATTGGTGTATATTACCTATGATATTGTATACTGGTGTATATTACCTATGATATTGTATATTGGTGTATATTACCTATGATATTATAAGCTGGTGTATATTACCTATGATATTGTATTCTGGTGTATATTACCTATGATATTGTATACTGGTGTATATTACCTATGATATTGTATATTGGTGTATATTACCTATGATATTGTATGCTGGTGTACCATTCAGGAATTTTACCAGAACAAGACAATGATCCACTTAAAGCAAATTTTGAAAAACACAAAACAAATACCGTTGATCTATCAGTGCTTTCGAGATAATCTTTGCTATTTTTACATTGCTGTTGTTTCAAAAATAAATTTTAATGAAGAAGTTATAAATAAATTCGTGAAAAATGTAATTTTGATAAATTTTGTTAATTATGTCAATTTTTAAATATTGCTTTTATTCCTGACTAATCCCACAAGATTTCTTATTCCTTCATCATCCTAATTAATAAAATGTAAAAGTTAATAATTGTTGTTCAAAATCATGGTTTGTGTGTGCCTAGAGCTATCAAAGTTCTGTTAACGAAACAGGAGGTTTTCGAAAATTAACGAAAGAGTCCGTTAAAGAACGACAAAAACCGTAAATTTTTAAATCTTTAACGAAACGGATTGGCCATTTTTGAAAAACAAATGAAAGGTTGGAAACGAAAACGAAACGGTAATGTTTTATAAAACGACAACTTTCGTTCTTTTTTCTGCTAAAACTTGCCTTGAAAAATGTATTTTGACGTTTTTAAATGTCGTTTTCAGTCCCCTCCCTCTCTTCCCCCTGTCATATGTATGATGAAACTTTTAAAGACTTTTTTTTGCAATTTGATAAACCATGAACTATTTTTTATGGAAATTTTTTAAGTTTTGGTAAACCATTAACGCTGTTATTATAATAAACAAATGAAGCGTAAACAAATTTTCATTAACAGTTTGTAATATTGTAACGAAAATTTGTTTACGCTTAACTCAATTTCTGAACGTCGTTGATTGAAAAAAAACGTTAACGTTTTAAATAAAATTGAGATCGTTAACTAACGGAACTGTTTTTTTAAAAGGAAAATACTGTTAACGAAATGAACGTTCCATTCTTACCTTTAAAAGTAACGACCACCTGATATATTTTTTTACGGTTGGAGCTAACTGTTAACGAAATGGCTATAAAATGTTGGAGCAAGTCCAGCCCTCTGTGTGCCCTGCTTGCCACATTACGTAATTTACAAAATATATGCCATCAAATAATTTGATGTAATTCTTGGTTGAAGGATAACTAAGAAAATCTAATTTAAAAATCCTGCAGTATAACAATTACATAGTCGCTGTAATATTGAAATTTGTAAAAAATATGAAAATTTCTTAAGGTACCTTGAGTGTGTTCTGTGACCTTTAGTTTCAAAGATGTCCATGAGATTGCATGAAAATAAGCTTTCAACTTTCGGGACAAGTTGGGAAACCTGTTTACCTCTAACAGAATAGGACCTCCACTGTCTCCTTTGCAAGCAGCTGTGGTAACACTGTGTCCCAAAAAATCATCATACTATAAGTAGAGGTTTATAATCGTCTTTGTAATCAATGACTACATATGAGATTTTATCTATCTATCTTTGGAAACGACATTTTCTGTACCAATAAGCGCATCGAAAGAAAACAAGCTTTTTATACAACCTTTGTGCAAGGTGACTCAGAAAACAATCAATTTTTCAAAATGAAATATGAACCCTTTACAGTAACACAGAATACACATGCTTTCCACCCATCTCAAGTCAACATCTAAACCATGTTTTTGTTTCCCTTTAAATGGTTCAACTGACAAACAATCATGAAATATTACAGTGCAGTGCAGTGAAGTGTAATTCAGAACAGTAGAAAAAAAATTAATTTCTAGTGTGAGTTAACCCCACCTAGTTGTTCAGCACGAATATTAGATACTTATGATATATAGATAAAGATTTATTCACACACAAATAAATTGTGTAGTTTAAATTTGTTTAAATAAATTTTTGAAAATACAGGTTTCCAAAAGAAAATATAAAAATATGCAAAATTATGCACAAATAGACGACACTGATCATTACTCATAAAATAACATATTTATCATTTCAGTTATTATGTAATCATTGAATCCTTCAACATATATAAATTATTTGTTCTTGTATTTAAAAGATCTTGTGAAACTGGAACTTTCCATGCATGGTTCGATGGGACATCAAAATATTTCATTTGTATCTTAACTAACATTTTACTAAGATTCGAAGGATTTACAGAACAATCATTTGCAATAGAAAATGAATTTCTGCCAAGAACTGTGTTAAGGTCACTTTTACATAAATTAAATGTGTCACCTTATCAACTCCAACAGCACACAGTTGTTCATCAGACACTCCTTCAGGAAGTGCTTTACAAAATACCACCTTATCCCTCTAATTAATATTTTTTTTGTCATTTAAAGGTATTGTTAAGTGCTTTCATAATTAATATTGGTACAATTTTTTTGGAAATTAAAATAAATCAAACCCAAATAACAATGATTGATTTTGATATCAATTGATACTAATTTTACTTCTATCTGTTGCATCTATAAGAAAAAAATGGTTAAAAACAACTCATACCAAAGAGCGTAGGACCCATTTTACCCTGACGTAGATAATTAAATTAAATTTAAAACTAAACATTTACATACAGTGGTATGCGATTTTATCAATACAATAGAGACGACTTTTTCAAGTAAGTTTTGATTTTTTACAAGCTTTTTTAATTAAAAGTTTACAAGTAAGTAAAGAGAAGCTTTTTTAATCTATATCTTCTCTTTGTTTCCATATGTATGTGTATCCATGTTGTTTAAAAGCTTAACATAAATAAAATTGAAATCGAAAGTCGTCTTCATTGTATTGATATAATCGCCTACCACTGTATTACAAGGTATAATTGTCGAATTCAATTTGGGACATTCCTATGTAGTTTAAATAATTTATCTTTTTTTCATTTTTCTATATACTAAGTCTGTATTTTCGAGGCTGACTATTTGGCTTACAGGTGTATCTTTTCAGGGATTTCACTTGGGAGAGAAACCTAGCGGCCAAAAAATCGTCATAAAAAGTACATAGTATATAAAGAAATAAAAGATTATGATATTTAAACTTATTTAAACTAATTTAAAATTATTAGCGATAGAAATTGAATTAAGTTCAGGCTCTGCCTGTACAGCTAGACCCCATTTCCTTTTTGCGAACACTCCCTTTAAGTCCACTCTCACTGTAGGTTGGCATGTTCTTTATATAAGAGTAAACTATCACAAAATCTTTTGAACTGAGAAATAGGCCAGTATTGGCTTCAAAATGAAAACAAAATTAAGAGCTTATACAAAAAGTTTCAGAAAAGCCTTTCATATGAAGGAGCCAACCATGAACATATAAAAATAGTGTTTTTCTTTTAATTTACATAATAAAACATTAATAAAATCAAATATGCTTGTTGAACTTCTATGACACATATCTCCGATATTTTTGTTACATATTGCGTTGTAAGCAAAGAGAATAGAATATATATTAGAGTGGAATTTAGACAATTCCTGGGTATGAATTTTGTCAGTCCCTTTCAGCCTAAAAGGGAGTTCAAAGCGTACAAATCATGTAAATGTTAAATAAACTTTATAAAATAAATTAAGTGAATAAAAAACATCATTTGATTTATAGTTATAACGGAAAATCATCGTTTGTAAAGTGAAAGGCATAGAGTCTATGTGAAATGATCATTGGTCAATTATGAAACCAGCCTATTTCATAATTTGTGTTTCATACTTTTTTTTTAATATTACTTTTAGATTTTCTATAAAATGATGTTCCAGGGCCAAAAAGGTTATATAGCGCAAATATGTGAAGTACACCTGCAGTATGGAAACAGTACAACAAAATAGCCGTTTTACACTTTTTTTCTGGTAAATTCCATTTTAATATTTATCTATTCTCTTTGGTTGTCAGGCTAAATGGGTTTCCCTTATTCTTAGACGCAAGTACGAAACTATGCATGACTCCTTTGGTGGAAAGGGGTTTAAAGAAGCTATCACTTAAAATTGCTAACTGGAAGATTTTGAAAAGAATAACACTAGAGGTCCTACCTGTTTTAACTTTAAATGAGCATCTAATTTATCAACGCAATCCTTCATGGCTATTATAGTAGTATTAGTTTCCAGTAAGGTTCCTCCTTTATCCTTCAAAGTAATTCCATATCCCTAAATCAGAATACTTAATTGCATGGCTGAAAAATGTAGAATATCATTGTCAACTTGTGATTAATAAAAAAGTGAGTATGGTGCAAAATGTTGAAAGTTTAAGCTAAATAAAGTTCGAAATGACCAATACTTCTTTTTAGACATTTTCACGCAACAACGAAAGTTAAAGAACAATGGATTTAATGTTTAAAGGACTATGATCCTGACTGGTCTGGAGTCTGGAAAGCAAAAAAATAAAACACAAAAGGGGAGGAAAATATTTTAATACCACAGAATGTTTGCCAAAATATTTGATACATGCTTTGGCACTATAAAGAAAAATGTACCCCAATTTTAAAAATTATGAATGCCAAATCTTCTGACACAGGACCAAGAGGAAGGACTTTTTGAAAATGAAGATCAAATTTCAATAAATTCCAGATAAATCCCCAATCATTAATACTTATTCTCCTTTTACTTTTAGTATTTTCTAAAGCTCTAATTCTGGATTTTCCCATGATTGATACAGTTTAATATCAATTTCTCGAGATAAGAACATCATTTAGGTCACGACCAACTCATAACATGTTTAGGTTTCAGCCGGTACCCCCTTTCATTTTTCCTTAACCCACCATAACCCTTGACCAACTTCAGTATACATAACAAAACAGGAGAGAATCTTTTTCTAACCTGAACTGTAACAAGTTTGCCAGGTAGATCTAAACCTTTATCTAGACAGGTTGGAGTATCTCCAAACTCATCTAGTTTAAACTCTACACGACGTCCAAGCTCTATTAGAGCTATATCAGAGTGTAGTTCTGGAAACCTGTATTCAGGGTGCACATAAATCCGCTTTACCTCAACCAATTCCTAGATTTTGAAAAATTACAAAATTTACTGGGTTTTTTTCAGGTGATTTGAAAATTAGACGTTTAAAAGAAGGTGATCATTCCTGGGGCTATGTAAGGTGCACCAAAAATTTGGTCATACGGAGGCTGAATTTAACGAATTTGAGCGGTGGTTAAAATATGGTTGGTTTCACTTAAAATTGTATTCAATGTTTCAATATTTAAGCTGGCGCTCAATTGAAACCCGTTCTTGGCGGATTTCAGACAAGGCTCAAATTCATCAAATTCATGAATTTTGGAACCCCCAACAAACACACAATTGGCAAAAATACATTGGAGGCCAATAAGGCAGAATTTTCAGATTTTCATTTTTTAGTGACTTTCCAAAGAATTTAAAAAGGATGAAATTTTATATGGAAAAAATGCTAGCTAACAATAAACCATTTCTAGAATCATGTGAAGTCTCACAAAATATTTAGCCCTAAACCATTCAGCTATTCCGACGTTTTTTTTAATTAACCAATCATCACACAGATTAAATATTTCTTAATCTATACATAAAATAGAAATATCTGTTTCTCTGTTTATTTTTCTGATCAAAATTCACAAAACCCTTGAACAATTTGATAAATTTTGATTGGGAACCAAATGTCTTAGTTTGTTTACTTATTCTAAATTAAGTTAATTGACTTGAATAGGGAACGTTTAGATTAACAAGCAAAGCTGTTAATCTAACCCATCGTGAGGATTAAGAATATGTTCAATGTTTTTGTACCTTTAGAGCTGGGATCAAAGATCGAATTACTTGAAGTTGTTTTTCCGCTATATCTTTGCCGAATTTAAAACAGTGAGCAGCTGTTATCATCCACCTAAAATAATAAAAGTTATCTTACACAGGGTGTCCCAATAAACATGGGAATTTAGTAACAATTTTGATATCGTCTTTGAAATATATAAAGCAGACCGTACATGTTGTAATAGTAGTTATGTATGTATTGATGATGTATGAAAGGGTGTATTCATAGTTTGAATATCTAAAGTCTACGACATGTTATGTTGTAAAGATGTAAGAATTAGAAAATCAGAATTTTGACAAAGACTCAATTCCATTTTATCATTTTTCTTATATTATTCATTACAGTACGACAGTACGAGAAAAGAAGGGGAGGGGGGTCCTCTGAACTCAACCCAACCCCCCATGGTATTTTCGAATTCCAAAAACCTTATTGCTAAATAACATAATCAGAAGCAAATTCATCCTTACTTGTCAGCAATGAGGGAGGCTGAACAGAAAGTGGAAGCATTTGCGTGTGCATTTGCCAATATTATCTCATCATCATCATCATCAGTCTCTGATCTTTAAAAAATTGTATAAAATGGATTTGTAGCGCATGTGTTAGTTTTGTTTTAATTACCTGAAATCAACTATTGAAGAAACTTCCTTGGTTGCTACAATTAAGGTCTCGTCTTGTCTGTAATGGAAAATCAGAAATCATTAATCATGAAAAAATACTAGCATTAAATACAGTATTTTTATAAATATACGAATAACTTACCCTTCTTTACTGTCTGTGACATTGAAATCAATTCCAGGTCTTCCGTCTGATACTTCCAGACCAATAGATTTAAGATACTCAAAACCTTTATACCTGAATCAAAATAAACATTTCCATACAAATCAGGGGGGTTATAGTTCTATCTGTGTGCTCAGTTAGATCGATTATCAGCTAAAATATGCGATATTTTCCACAGCATGTTCTATTGTGTACAAGTACTGTACACGACCAATCAGCAAACATCTGTATTCAGGGACATTTAATTCTTAAGAGGAATTTTGCCTTAGATCCTAGAAATATGACTAACATAGAAAATGGAAAAATGAGAATAATTGCTCTGCCTTCTCTGATTATATAACTTATGAAAAATAAATTGAGCTCTCACCTCCCACAGTCAAAATCAGGATCGGAAATTCTTGAGTATGATTTCCCTTTATAAATCTGCTTGTCAGTACTCAAAGTTGACAAGAATCCACATGTTCCACAGCTTTCTCTTCAGATAAAAAAAATGTTAACAGACAAATCTATCTACTTTTAATAGCATAGAAGTAACTCAAAACATTTTTTGGAAAATTATTAAATGTTTTTATGTTTTTGAATGTTTTCTTCTGTTTTTTTTCAATTCAGGCGATATTTATGCATTAATTGAAGCATGAAATAATCAGTGCCAGCTGTTAATCATATTTAAGATGAGATTGTTAACAAATGGCATTTTCAGAATTTTCTGAAAAATCTTTAACTTAACGGAGTACTCATGTCTTAGATGAGACTGAGTTACCAGAGCTGAAAATTTAGAATGAGATATCCTTAATCCCGATTACTTAATCTGAGTATCCAATTGACATACTTTTGATTTTCTTCTTAACCCGTTCTTTCATGGAAATCAAAACCCGGTTTTTTAAATTAGCGAGTTCCTCCCATGTTTCTGTATTTAATCTTAAGATTAGATAGGTCACGATATTAAGAAAAAGAGAGGATCAGGCATTAATCTTGATATCCACTATTCTACAGTTTTCAGCTCAGAACATATAATCTTAATCATCTTATAAACCTTTGCTTATAATAACCTGCAAGTGTGTGCCATGAAGAACGGGGTGCGGAAACAGAAGCCTTCCCTTGTCCATTTAGGACAAAATTCATGTTCATCCACACATCCCTTAGCAAACATTCATTCATTTGACAAATCCATGTTAGAATTAATAAGATCTAATTATCTCAAAAAATTAACTGACCTTAGTCCCACAAAGATTACATGACTGCATACAAGCCTTTGAGTTGAATTCGAACATGGTCCGGCTAAAGATCGGGTTTAGGTAAGGTTCTTTCTCACTTGTTTCAAATGTTTTGTTTAAAGCACAAGCACCATTAGCACTCCATCTCTTGCACAGGTTAGTAAGGTCTTCACAGTCACGTGGTTTATTGTTAACTGGATACCTATACATCGGATAAACATGTAATATACAAGGAGGGAGACTTTATCTTATTGAAGTTTCAGGGGCGGTTTACACTGCACCCCGCGACCGACGGGTTTCCCGACGCTCTTGCACCCTCCCACGTAAAGCGATCCGACTGGAACAGCAGAGAGCCTGCCTATACGCGCATTTTCACAAGGTTTTTGCGCCCCGTGACTGGAAACAAATTGCGTGCTTTGAAAATCCGAAAACATTTGCTAGCCCAGACTACACACTTGAGCCCAAGACTTTCAGGCTGAAACGTTCAGGGTACCCTTCCCCATTCCCATGACTAGCTTATATTACATTTGGGTGCATATCCGAGAACTTTGAAAATCCAAACATTTTTGCAACCCGAGACTGGCGCACTTTCCCAGCCTAGAGTTTCCAAGGAGGAGGCTTGAAAAATGTGTAACTTTTGTTTAGAATTATTGTTATTGGCCTAAAAGTTCTGTCAATCAAAGAAAACGTATTCTGTGTTTTGTGTAAGTCTTTTATTTACATGTTTAAAACCCATTTATACATTCTTCATATTAATAACAAAACGAGAAATGAAGAAGTATTTCAGATTTTACCTCGGGTGGGGCAGAAGTTTAGGTTTCTGTAAGAGATTCTCAGAGGGGCAGCAAATCATTAGTTGAGCTGTTGCTTGATCAAAACTACAGATAGCCTCCTGGCCTAATGTTATTGGATCCAGGTCTAGCTTCTCCATCATATTACAGCTAGAATATACAAATTCAAAGATGAAATAGTAGAACACTTAAAAAATGAAATTAAAAGAGGAAAGAGATCATTACAATTGAGGAGCTAACAGCAGACCCCTTGCTATTGCACTCTTCCCAATCTTATTCAAGCATTTATTATTTATTTATTATTTATTATCTCCAGATTCTGCTGACATTTTCCCAGGATCTGTTACCTGGTCCCGAGAATTTCTTGAACCAATTCCAGAGAATTTGGGAAATTTAAGGAATTTTGGGAATGATTATTTGTAATTTCCGCGGAATTTCATAAAAATTGTTAATTGTGAAATTACGTATTATCATAAACCTATGTTTTATCATAGAACCACAAGTTTTAATATCTATTTTTTACCTGGAGATTGGAGTACATGTTGTGTTTGGAAGAAATTCACAGTTGGTTTCTGATTCACTGAAGAAAGAGTCTCTTCCAAGGATTTCTCCAGAAATAGATGGTTGACTTCTGTCAGAAGACTGAAAGCATCAATTATAACTAGATTGGTGAATGTAAAAACAAAACTGCTGATTTAGTTGCCAGTGAGCACTAGAAAAATATTACTCAACACAACTCAATACCCATAACCACGTCCTTTTTAGTGAAGAAACCACGATTGAAAATTAACAATTTCAGATGCAAAGATATCTTTATCTTTTTTGTCCAGACTTAGACTGAAAGGGTAGTCTTTTAATGGCAAAACAAAATTGTTATTTTAAAAGAAGTGATTGGATTAAGATTAAATTAATCTGCAGATTACAAAAGATCAAGATTAAGAATTGATCTTGATATCCACATTACAAGATTTCTCAGCTTAGGGCAATAAAACTAGCATTTCACTTACATCGTCTTGCCGCTCATCCACTTGATCGACAATTTCGTCCTTGTTACCTTCTTCTTCTTCTTCTTCTTCTGTAACAAAAAATGATCAGAAATGCAAACTATTATCAAATGACATGAAAATCTTAAAATTATGCACACTGAGTCCGAATTTAATGAATTTGAGCCCCGTCTCCAATCTGCCAAAAACCGGTTTCAATTAAAACATTGAAAACAATTTTAAGTGGAACCAACCACATTTGAGCCACGTCTCAAATTGAAGCCGCAGCTCGTTTTTTTAATTCGGCGTCTTTTGAGTTTACACAAGTGTCTTTCTTTTAAAAAATTGTCAATCGCGAGTGATTATTTATCAAGTATGGATAATTACTTATTCCACATATTTCCGTTTTCCTCATTTCTATTGGCTTGGAATGCTAATGATCAAGTATTAACTACTGTTCAAAGTAAAAATTATAGTTCAAGGTTCGCGTAAAAATATTAGAATTTTAAGTTTAATAAGTTGATATTTTATGGATATGGATATTGCTGCTGTTTAATTAAGCTTTCAGGATGCTGTTTTGTATTTTTTAGATTTTTTAATGAGCAATACTTTGTTAAAACAGCTTAAAGCCACCTAAGTATTCCTGAGCTGAAAACTTTAGAATGGTGGATATAGAGATTAATGCTTGATCCTCTTTTTTTCTTAATATCGAAACTAATCTAATCTTGTACATGTATCCTGAAAAGTGAAGAAAATTCAACCAATCAGAGCTAGTCACGTATGAGAAGCCGATAAATTTGAAATTTTGCGCGCCATTTAAGATTAATATAGAGAAACGGGAGGGACTCTCTAACTGAAATAACCTGTTTCTGATTTTTCTCTGCTATATTCAAGAAAGAACGGTTTAAGAAGAAAATCAAAAGTGTGTCCATTGGATACTGTGATTAAGTAATCGGGATTAAGGATATCTCATTCTAAAGTTTTCAGCTGTGATGCAGTAGTTTTACCCATATTTATTGTACTAATGTTGTGTTAATAGCTGTTATGATTTTTTACTGAGCTCTAGTTATCATTTCTGGTAGAAAACTAGCACCTTGAAATAGAGTGAAGCAAATATTACCTGTATCATAATCTTGGTCATTGTTGTATTCTGGGTACTCTGGCTAATATTTAAATAAACTTATGTTTTCAGCTTTGTAACTAAGTTTTACATGCATTTTTACATTGAAAAATATCAGATTTAGCGAATTGTAGAAAGTTGTTCAACTAAATAAAGGGTTTACCACTTATATTTTAATATAACTTTAAATACTAAACTAAATAGAATCAAATCTTTTAAGTTAACTTTAAACTGGTGACTCAAGATTTGAGCCAGTGAGCCTAAAGGGATATAGTTAAACTGGCGGTAGTAGTTTAGCGACCTCTTGCCAATTCATTAAATTCCGCTCTCAGAACATTTTTGACAATTTATTTTGTATTTTACGAGGCTTTACATGAAAAGAGATAATAATTTTTAAGTTTATTTTCCTCTACGTATGTCGGACACCATGGATCTGATGGAAAACAAATATCGGTTTCAAAATTAGGATTCTTAGCGGGACAACAGACTGTTGGATGGATGCCAACTTGCTGAAATTAAAAATAAAGGATTAGGTTTTTTTAAAGTGTCCTGGATGGAGCCAGAAAAGATCAGAAAAATCCCATGCTATTTGTTTTGTTCTGAAATAGCTCATCAAGACGTACATTATACAATATGTTAGCCCATTTTTCCTATAATTCGATTTATTCTGCAATAGCTCATCAAGACGTACATTATTCAATATGTTAGCCTATTTTTCCTATAATTCGATTTATTCTGCAATTCGCACATTTGGTAAGTAATGTTTTATGGACATTTTTAAGCTTTAAGGAACTTATTTTGTAAATATTATTTTCTGCTTTTGACCTCTTTTATGTCTCAATGGTTTAAATCATTGTTTCCGGGATTAGGATTGAAAGTTTTAGGATAAGTTGTTGTGTAGCGCAGTTGTTATTTAGAGTACAGGATAAGTTATTGTTTAGCCTAAAGGATAAGTTATTGTTTAGCGTAAAGGATAATTTATTGTTTATCGTACAGGATAAGTTATTATTTAGCGTTAAGGATAAGTTATTATTTAGCATAAAGGATAAGTTTTTGTTTAGCGTACAGGATAAATTATTATTTAGCGTAAAGGAAAAGTTATTGTTTAGCGTAAAGGATAAGTTATTATTTAGCGTACAGGATAAGTTATTGTGTAGCGTAAAGAATAAGTTACTATTTAGCGTAAAGGATAAGTTATTGTTTAGCGTAAAGGATCAGTTATTATTTAGTGTAAAGGAAACGTTATTATTTAGCGTAAAGGATAAGTTATTATTTAGCGTAAAGGATAAGTTATTATTTAGTGTAAAGGAAACGCTATTATTTAGCGTAAAGGATAAGTTATTGTTTAGCGTAAAGGATAAATTATTGTGTAGCGTAAAGGATAAGTTGTTATTTAGCATACAGGATAAGTTATTGTGTAGCGTAAAGGATAAGTTATTATTTAGCGTAAAGGATAAGTTGTTATTTAGAGTACAGGATAAGTTATTGCGTAGCGTAAAGGAAAAGTTATTATTTAGTGTAAAGAATAAGTTATTGTTTAGCATAAAGGATAAGTTATTATTTATCGTACAGGATAAGTAAATATTAAGCATAAAGGATAGAATATAATTTGGCGTAAAGGATAAGTTATTATTTAGCGTAAAGGATAAGTTATTATTTAGCGTAAAGGATAATAATATAACCCATAAACAGGCTAAACTGCCTTTTTAAATCAGAAATACTTCTTAGGAAGTTTGGTTTTGGACGCCGGAAATACAGCGCATATCTACCTGGTTACCAGCAGCAGGTATAGGGATTTTGAAAAGTTGTAGGCTCTCACAATCCTATCAAATATGAAATCTGTGAAAAAGAATTATTATCAATTGTTAGGATTCCCCCCCCCCTCTCCCACCCTCCCCCTAAATCAATTAAATAATAATATTTCTTCAGGTTTCTTAACCACATTTGCTCAAAACCTTATTGTTTGGAATTTTGACAGAAACTAGGATGTATGCATTCCCTCCTATGAGAAATGGTCTCTATGAGGATCTCAAAAAATACTCCAATGCTCTAAAAAAGTACTCTAATGCTCTCTAAAGTACTCCAATGGTCTCTAAAAGTATGCCAATGCTTTCAAAAAGTATTCCAATGCTCTAAACAGTACTCCAATGCTCTAAAAAAAGTACTGCAATGCTCTCTAAAAGTACTCCAATGCTCTAAAAAGTAGTCCAATACTTAAAAAAGTACTCCATTGCTTTAAAAAGTACTCCAATGCTCTAAAAAAGTACTCTAATGCTCTAAAAAAGTACTTCAATGCTCTATAAAAGTACTCCAATGGTCTCTATAATTACTCCAATGCTCTAATAAAGTACTCCAATGCTCTATAACAGTACTACAATGCTCTCTAAAAGTACTCTAATGCTCTCCAAAAGTACTCCAATGCTTAAAAAAGTACTCCAATGGTCTCTAAAAGTACTCCAATGGTCTCTAAAAGTATTCCAATGGTCTCTAAAAGTACTCCAATGCTCTATAAAAGTACTCCAATGCTCTATAAAAGTACTCTAATCCTCTATAATAGTACTCCAATGATTTTTAATAGTCACCTGAATATACTTAACCCTACCACCATCACCAAAGTTTACTTCTGTTGGAAGAACACAGAAATCCACGCCTGGGGGCTCTGGTTCTGCTTTCAGGACATCCACTAAAAGGAGTCACAAACGTAAATTTTCTAATCCATATATCTTTGCAAACTGATGGTTTAAACTTTTGATATTTTAAACTTATATCTATATTTATATCATCAGGTTGCAAATATTTAGGAAATTGATGGAAAATAATACTTATGTTTAGAAATTGAGATATTTTCATTAAAACCATCTGAACAAGGTTAACTCTGATTTTATCTTTTAACTAGCAAACTAGTGCTCGTGAAAATATAAAATTAAAATTGAACATTAAAAAGAATTTTAAGTTAGATTTTTTGAAGAAAAAATAATTTTGTATTTTTTTAGCCTATGTAACTATGATGGGTTCCTTAAAAGAATGTAGCCCATTCGGTCCAGTCGTTTTATAGCCAGCTGTAGCTAACATATAAACATATAAATATATATGAGCGAAAAGCTTTATTACATAGTGTAACCACCACCCGTCCCTCAACATCAGGGGTCGTGCAGACCCCCCCCCCCCCTCCTTCGCCTTATCTAAATATTCTTACCACACACGAATCACGATAAGGATGGTGTTGGTTACAACAGATTGAATATTGCCATCCCACCGTTTGCTTTTCGGGCCATATAAAATCAACGAATTTAGCTGATATGATTCTGTTTTTATATGTATGTTAAAGACTAATTAAAGGGAGTGACCGGCTATGTAAGGTAGTTGAACTAAGTATGCAGTGTTGTGGAAAACTTCTTTCGGATTCATTTGAGACATATTACACTTTTTAAAGATCTGTACATCCTGAGTTTGAGCTCAAAATCGATGTTCAAAACCCCCACTTTGGGGGTGGATACGTTTCCAGAATTAGTTTTTAAATTACGAAATAACGACGCCATAAAATTTAAAAAAAAGTTCTACAATAAACTACAGACGTCATGTATAGGAGCATGTTGAGAAAGTAAAAATTAATCTTATCATCGAAAATAAGTAATCTTGTTCAATTATTAGTTTTTATTTTCTCATTATTAACAAAGATTTTCTGCAGATTTTCTTGAATTATTATTGAGAAGACGACATATGAAGAATTTGAAGAAATATGCGAAGAAATTCAATATAATAATTAAAACGAAATTAAATTTTAAAAAACTAATTCTTAAAACGTATCTACCTCCAAAGTGGGAGTTTTGTAAGTCGAATTTGCGCTCAAACTCGGGATTTACAGATCTTTAAAAAGTTTTATATGTCTTAAATGAATCCGAAAGAAGTTTTTCACAACACTGCATACTCACTACTCAGTTCAACTACCATACATAGCCGGTCACTCCCTTTAAGACAGAAATTTACCTACAGGTACTCCCAGTATTCCTCTCTACTGGTTTCATCATATCAGTATTTTATCAATAAAAATCAAATTTAACAATTTCTAATTTCAAGATAATAAGAGTAGCCAAATAAAAACGTACTGAAAAAGGTATGTTTAAAAGAACAAAGGGCTTTCAAACTTATTTTAGGTACTTTTTCTGAATTATTCGAATCATTTTTGGTTTATGATTAAACGCTTCCTGTGTGATAGAAAAAAGTGCGAGGAAAGTTCTCAAAATCATTTTAATCGTCTCCTACACTTTAAAAAATACTTTTATATCTGAAAAATAAACATAATTTACTTAGAATAAATATAGTTACGCTTTGTTTAAACAACATGATTGTGAACAACTGATAAAGGCAATACAATTCTTAAAAATAAAATTTAAAATAAACAGTTTAGACAATACAAATTTAAATAACCAAATAGTTTAGACAATATAATTCTGAACAAACAAATTTAGAGAAAACAATTCTTTAATAAATAGTTTAGACAATACAATTCTAAACAAATAGTTTATACAATATAATTCTGAACAAATAGTTTAAACAACACAGAGCTTAAAAATAGTTTATACAATACAATTCTAAACAAATAGTTTAAACAATACAATTCTAAATAAACAAATAGTTTAGACAATAAAATCTAAGTAAACTGATAAGTTTATAATACAATATAATAAACAAATAATTTAGNCCCTCATCATCCTTACCATCGTTCAATGGTTTAAGTTTAACCAGGTGCTTTTTACTATTTTCATATATTTTACAAAAAAAAGTTCAAAATCTTATAAAAACCTGAATATTTTCTTAAATATAAGGGCTTGAATACTTGATAAAAAAATATACTATTTATATGTTCTTTATTATGAAAATTTCTTTTTTAAAAAAGACATTATTTTATAGATTCCATTCTTGTAAATCTTCTTTTTTACTAGTCCAAGATTGACGAGGAGTGTAAAAGTGCCGGGATATAGAGGCCAACCAAGCATCTGTTAAGAATAAAAACAAAATAAAAAATTCCTATTCAGAAAGTATTAAATTTAGCAGCACAATGTAAATAAATATTTTTTAAAGATTAAAATCGAAAGATTTTAAAATAATAAAGTCTAATAGCTTGAATATTTTTATTTGGAATTTCCGGATGTGTTTCTAAAAATGTTGACCAAAATATCCAGAGTAAGTAAAAAATCGGTTTAAAAAAACTATGAAAATGTGTAGGGTTCATATTTTTGGTTGTAAAATATCAAAATAAAGTATGATAGAGTGCATAGAAAAAAATCGTATATTTTGTGTCAAACCTAGTGTTTTCTTCAGAAATAGATTAGAAACACTGAATTACTTTTGTTCCAATTTAAAGTTTCATAAAAAATTTAATAAAAAAGTAGATAATTAAACTATTTTCTGGAATTATTGCATTGTTTTTGCCCTTATACCCTGTAATAAACATTTTTAAACTACGCTATTTACTTTATATTTAGGTCACTTAGGGTATTAAAACATGTCTTTAAATTTAAACAAATACATTTTTGATTAGATTTAGCTATATATGACACAAACGCATCATTATTTTAATTAATTTGATTAAGATTAATTGTTTATATTTTGAAGGGAGTGTTCGCGAGAAATGAAAGGGGGTATAGGCTTACGGCGAAAATGATCAATAATGATCCCTACTAATCTTACTTCTATCTGTTGCGTCTATACGGAGAAAATTGTTCAAAACGACTCAAAACGAAGAACGTAGCGTCTTTACAAATTTAAAAAGTTGCAACATTCAACTCGGATTGTAAAAATCAATTTAATTTCAAACAAATCATTGGGCGTTTTTAACAATTTTCTCCTTATAGACCCAACAGCTGGAAGTAATATAAGGGGCGTACCCCCTTTCATTTTTCCCGAACACTCCTTGTAATAGTTTTATTTAATTCTAATTTGTTGTCTGTTTTTTATCTTTGAATTAAGGAGGGTCTTTCCATTCATAAAGCTGTTTTTTGGATGTTATAGGTTCGACTAATTCACCAGAGTTGCACTTTACAGATCTGGTTTAAAATATGTCCCAAAAATTAAGACCAAAATATTTTCAAATATTAAAAGAAACAGAGTTTTTACAACCCGATGGTATAAACCTATGATATTTCTAAGTTTGAAATACCAAAGGTACAACGGGTTGCAAAGATATAGGGATTAAAAATTAGAGTTTGCGGCAAAAACTCATTTCCTTTCAATCTAGCGTAGAATTACGATGATGACGTATAATGTTGATGTATTCAATTGTTCTCATTCTGAAGCTTGTGTATGACGAATTTCAACATGTAAAAGAATTACTCATGAAGTGGAATGAGTCACAAAGACTAATGTTCAGTGTTTGCTGGGAGGTGTATTCAGATACCTGAAATATTATTCATATAATTTATAGTTTGAAATATCACAGGTCTACAACATCAAGATGCAAAGATGTAGGGATTAGATAATCCGCAGAGTTTGTGACAGAAACTTAATTCCTTTAACAATTTTTACAAATTTAACAACTTTAAAAAATTTAACAACTTTTACAAATTTAACAACTTTTACAAATTTAACAAGTTTTAGAAATTTAATAACTTTTACAACTTTAATAACTTATAAAAATTTAACTACTTTTTCAAACAAAAATCAAGAATTAAAACAATTAAGAATAAATAATGATGATGTAATCCAAATTACAAACATCTTTTGCTTATGATTTTTCTAAAATTTTAGATAATTGTGTTTCATTCTTTTAAGAATTGTGTGCATGTGTCATTATTTTGCCGGGGAGAGAGCTTACCGGGGGAAAAAAATAATCGTCAGAAATATTTATGGGCTTTTAAATTTGCTCTGGGAGGGGGGTTTGCCCTTTTTACCTTGCCAGGTGGGCTTTGCTTCGATGGACAGACCCCCCCCTTCTGGCCTTCCTCTGCATACCGTCGTTTTAGTGTTTTAGTCCTTTAAAAATGATCTCAATCTTTTTAAAGGGAGTGTTTGCGAAAAATGAAAGGGGGTATAGGCTTAATGCGAAAATTAATCGCTTTTACGCTGCTAATCTTACTTCTATCTGTTGCGTCTATAAGGAGCAAATTGTTAAAACTGACTAATACCGAAGAACGTAACGTCAATACAATTGCAGAAAGTTTCAACATATAACTCGGATCGTAAAAAATCAATTTAATTCCAAAGAAATCATATCATTCAGTTATTGCAACCGATAATCATCGATATTTTTTTGACGCATTCGTTTTGATTTTTCATAATATTTTCTATTTTTTATGATCTGATAGTTACTTTTATTCCTGTTTCGAGGATTTTTGATAATGAAGACGACATTTTCCTGTTTTCCAGGAATGGTCGAAAATCCAGCGCCAGAAAAATATCTTTAAAAAACCGAAATCAAAAATATTATAAAATATAAACTATATACAAATGTGGCGAAAGATAATCGATGACTATAGGTTGTAATATCTGAATGATTTGTTTGAAATTAAATTGATTTTTTACGGTCTGAGTCGTATGTTGCAATTTTCTCAATTTGTATGGACGCTAAGTTATTCGGTGTGAGACGTCTTTAACAATTTTCTCCTTATAGACACAACAGATAGAAATGAGATTAGTAGCGATCAAAAGCTATGTTTATCGCATTGAGCCTATACCCCCTTTCATTTTTCGCGAACACTCCCTTTAAGCGCAGAGCGTCCCAGATCATATTTAATTATCTCCAAAATTTAATGCCAAAATAAACACATTATACTCGAAAAACCTAGCCTTTTCTGCAAGAAAATTTTTATATTAGCCTTTCAATTTTTCAAAATGATTCATTCTTCTTAAATTTTCTGGTTAGTCCCGAAAATCGTATTTTAAACCAATTGATGAACTAATATGATGTGGGAAACCCTGTATAACATTGACGAGGGTTAATCCAGACGCAGTCCGAAATATATTTTAAATTAAATGTGGAACTAACATCTACCTTTTTTTACTCTACAGAGGTCTGGTCCATCACCATCACCGAATTTTAAAAGAAAGTTAAACTTTGTCTTCAGCCTTGAACGTGACTATCCAATACCCATGTCCAATAATCCTGCTTCCATTCTCCAGATCTGCATCCTCATCCACGAGATACTCCTCCTCTTCCAGGATGACTACTCCTTCCCTTTCCTCCTCCAGTCGAGGAGGTCTCCTGGCAGATTCCCAATTTCAGGTAAACCGGAAAAAGGCTGAGACGGAAACCTGCCATCTGAAATCCTCTATAGTCAGAGCACCTCTCAGAGCTCTCAACCTCCTCCTCTTGGTTTTACCAGACTTTTCACCAGCTATATTTCCAGCTCTCTTGACTCCAGTCCTCCCTCTCAGGCCAGGTAGTCCAGGAACATCTTCCCTCCACTTCATTCTCTCTTAAATTTTTCAATCTCAAAATCATCAGTCTTCTCAAAACCATCACTTTTATCAGAGCCGTCATCACTCTTAAAACCTCCACTCTTCTTACAATCGTTATATTTCTTAAAACCTTGGGATAAAGGATCCACATAGTAGCTCTGCTACACCCCTGCCCGTGTTAGCCGCAGTACCCTTGAAACCTTTACCTAATCATTAATGTGGAAGATAAAGTCGGTTTTCTAGTTTAAAAGTGTCTAATTCTGATAATTCCTGTATGATTTCCGGCAGTGATATGCGCACTTTTGTAGTGAACCCAAAATTAAAATTAATCAGTTTTCAAAACTATTAACAATGATGTTTAATCCCTACTTGATTAGAAAAAGCGTTTGACTGTACAGTTGTGAATCAGGCATTGTTATCAATACTTTAAAAAAAAAACACAGAAAATTACGCTCACAGTTTAAAAAAATGTATAAATTCGTCCCGGAACTCTTATTATTTGGTGGTGTCTATAAACAATTTGTATAGAAATTGGATTAAAAATGTAAACATATAATTCAACGGTTTCAGGAATGTTTAAATTTTATTTAATAGACACCCCTGCACCAGTAGTGTACTAGTACTCAACCTTCAAAGTAACTCTCACTAGACCAGTTGACCGGAAACCAACCACCCCCCTGCTTTCTGACCCGGGGGCATCACCTCCCCCCCACGCATCAGCTGGAGAGATTTTGTTGTCATCCAGGCCCATAATGATGAGGATTTCGAGTATTATTGCCCAGTTGTGGGGAGAGGGGGGGGTTTGATGCCCAGCCAGGTGGGGGAGGGGGATAATAAGCCCACCGGAACAATGAAGGTGGTTTAAAATTCTATTCAATGTTTCAATTTTT